GGGATATTAATGTAGTAATAAATGATAGTTTATAAATGATAGTTTCACAGTTTACTCTTATAATTTTATTAATTATTGGCAAGTATCGTCAATTCATATATTGCTTAATATATTTTTTTTTAATAAAAATAAATATTTTATATAAAGTATTTTTAAAAAAAAGAAAAAAATATTGGAAAATTTGAAAAGTTGATATTAAACGGTATAATTAAATGTATTATAATATTTGAAGTATATGTGTACATATGTATATATGTATATTACTATTATATATGTATATAATTATGAATGTATCGTTTTGTTTTATGTATGTGTGTATGTACATGTATTGTATACGTACTTATACCGTTGTATTGTGATATATTACTTTGTTTTAGTGTATGGAAAATTGCTTGGAATCCAATTATACAAAACCTGGTTACTGTCCTGATAAAGCATCCATGACACCCTTCGAAGCTGTTTGTTTAATAGCTTGCGTAGATGACTCTCGTTGTCCAGATTTAACAAAATGTTGCAGGCATGATTGCGGTGTCACGTGTATGCATCCCATCGGTTTGAACAATGTAACTGGTATGCATTGGATTTTGTTACTTGTCATTGTCACTGTCGATATGATACAACAATTTTTTATTTTTATATCTCGTTATTTATTTGTTTACAAATTTATTAAATTATACACATAACATAAAAGATAAATATATATACTATAGTATGTAGTAGTACACATACATAATGTGAAGTATTTGTTGCAATTTTACAAGATTGCAAATTTTTTTACAAGATTCATAACCATTTAATTGACCCTTACTTAAAAACGATTTATTAATGAAAATTTTTTGCAATGATAATGATATCCATATATTTTAACGATAAACTCTACACAATTAATAATATGAATAGATGTTAGATTTGTATATGTAAGATACGAGTAAGATATAAATGAAGTTTAAAATAGTGATGAGTAAATCGCGGCTCAACTACTTAAGTAAGGCCTATCGAAACGTTGCATTTCATTTATCTGAATTGAGATGCATATGACAAAAAATTTTAGCCACAGGCATGATATATTATCAATATGAAGCATGCATTAAGTGAACACTTGAAAAAGTATTCACGCGCGATAATAATTCCCAGGATTGTCAAGATACGTTTCCTTGTAAATTTATATTGAAAATTTTTCATAAATTACATATCAAAATAATTAATTAATGATTAATTAATTAATTTACTTAAATATTTAGTCTTGTTATTATTCCTATGGAACGTTAAGTTTTTATTTTTGATATAACTACTTTGAAAAAAAATATATATATATTTCATCTATATTAATAAAATTTAATCTTGTTAAAAATAATTCTAAAAGATGAAAATGAAGAATATATTATTTATAAAATCTATTAAAAATTTTGAACAATCTTACTCTTCTATATTATATAACTAATAAATTATTATTATTATAAAATCAAATTCTCATTTTTTGCATATTTTTGTATTTTTTCAGATTTACCTCTAATTCCCGAAAATATACAAATCAGACAACAGAAAAACAATTTGATTTTATTGTCTTGGCAAAATTCAAATACCCAACGAACGAATGATTCCGTCGAGAACGAAGATGTAAGATATTTAGTGGAAGAACGGCATTTACTTGGGCCCAGGTATATAGAATCTAGATTAAGTTCTTGGATGGTTCGTCAGATATCAACGAAATCTCACGTAACGATACGAGAACGATTAAAAACGGGACACTGGTATCAATTTCGCGTAGCAGTTATTAATGGGAATGGTTCTCGAGGATATTCTCAACCATCCAGACCGTTCAAAACGAGAGGTAAGCAAGAATATTATTCCTAATATTAAATCTAACTATCTATAATCAAAATATCTGCACTAAATTAAATCAACATATGAAATATTTTAACTATTGGTTGATGAAATTAAATCAAGATCATTTCATAAAATGATTATTTCCATAAACTGTTTTGATTAATTTTCAAGAAATAATTAATAATTCATCTCGTTGTTCTGTTATTTTTATTTGTCTTTGCATTATGTTAAAAATTAAATTCCACAAATAACATCAACTCTAATAAGTATTAATTCGTTTGAATCGATATAAAAAAGATGGATTTATAAAAAAATTATTGAAAATTCGTGTTACTTTTAGAACCACGGAATCCAAAAGAACCACAAAATTTAACTTTATCCAACGCTCGATTGGTAGATGGAAAATTACGTATAACCCTTAGATGGATTAAACCAGCCTCAGATGTGCCAATTACGTTTTACAAAGTGTTCTGGAGCCGTCTTGTCCATGGCCCCACTAATGATTCTATTCTTGTTTATCACAAAACAATTCTCAAAGTAAGTTTTACATATATGTTTACATTAACAATCCACTTTAAATTTAAATTTTAAAAATTAAATTTAATCATTTCATTAAGACACTAATACTAATAATTAATAATCTAATGTAATACATTTGAATATTAGAAATCACAACTTCGTTTATCGATACCTCATTTTTGCAACTTTAGATTAATTATAGATGCATAAAAAATGCTATCTCTCTGTGTAGAATGCGCATATATCGATGAAAAGTATCGAATATGGCGCAATTTCTTATCGAATTATCTTTCGAATACAGAGAGAAATGAAACGAAAATTGAAAAGAAAAATGATTCTCCTCTTGTCGAATTTCAGGACAAAACTTGTTACGAGCTGAAAGATTTGGAGGTGAGGTGCCAGTATTTCCTTCAGGTACAAGCTGTCGCGCTGTACGGTGGCCGCCGATTAGTTTCGCGAAAGGCTTCGAAAGTTTTCAATAGCACCGATTATATGATATACGGTAAGATAAAATTCCAGCCTGATCTTCTTCCATCTGCTACTGGTATTTCTGTCGAGCCTAATAATTGGGATAACAAACGAAGAAGTGCCCTTTCATTGAAGCCGATATGGGGAGACGATCTCGCAGATGCGAGCGATACCATGGCGATCTCCATCTACGGCGAATGACTTGTCACTGCGGAGAGGTCAAGGCACGTTTAGTTTGGCCGATGAACCACGATGTAAAGGCCTACAACGTCTCCTGGAGGGAGGCATCCTGCTCGACATCGCAGGAAAAACTCGTATCCCATCGAAAGAAGTCTTGGTGGAAAGTTGTCCAGGTACTATATCTATACTAATGAAATGAGTCGAAACCTGATTTTTTTTTAACTTGTCTTGTATATTTCTAAAAGCAGAATTAGCTTAGCTTCTTTCTTTCTTTTGAAATTTTTTCAAAATTATGATTAAATATGGATGATCATTACATCGTGTAAAAGAGTGTTATATAAGTTTATATTTTAATATCATTTCAATATATGTTTCATAAACATTATTAAATATTTGTCTTGTGTTTAGATGATCAGTCATTTGAATAATCAAACTTCGAATAATCGAAATTTGAATAATCAACATTTAACTGTACTCATATTTATAATCCATTAATGGTAACAGGAGTCGTTTTTTTGGTTTGCAAAAGATTGCAATTTTTGTAATTAATAATATCGACTTTATATTGTAATTAATGAATTACGAATTAATTAAAATAATTTAAAGTTATAAAATTCATTTAAATTATTACTAGTTAATATAATTTTGAATTTCGAGAAGCAGATATACTTTTATACCTTACAGACATCGCATCTTGAAATAAAACATCTTCAAAGTGAATGCACATACAACGTGAACGTACGAAATATATTCAACGAGATAAGTAGTAACGACGAAAATGGTGTCAGTATAGAATTTTTCACTACCGGTTGTTTGGGGGAATCAGAAGAAGTCAAGGACAACAATTTTTCACACAGTAGAACGACGCAATGTAAAACTAATAGTAAATTGTCAAAAAGAAAACGACACTATGCTACTTATTTCTGATTATAAATAGTTTATGTCGTAAAGTATATGATTGCCATCTTACACGAACAAAAGTTAATTTTTTAAATAGTTAAAGTCATATATTCATCATATATTGCTAATTCATCATAATAAACAAGATTTTTTATTCTATAATATATCATCGTGTGTTGATAATAAATTAACTATATTGATTGATATTTTTGAATGTGATCAGTTGTTTTTTTTGTTACATTTGTTATATGAAACAATGTTCATTTGGAAAAATATATAGATATAAAATAATCCTATTAAAAAAATCACAAATATAAAAATGATAAAATTTATATAATATTCTTTGTAAAAATAATAATCTCTTAACTTGTTTAATTATATTCAAAATTTTAAATTTTTGATATAAATTGATATTATTTTCTCTATAATATTCAGAATTTTTAATATATTAGCTTAATAAATTATTTTTCCAAATAAAACATTATATAATACTATTCAATATTCTCTTTCTCTATCATATGCTATATATATTACAATATCTTAATAATTTTGTGATTTTATTATAATAAAGAGCTAGATTTTTAAGATTATATTCTTTAAATAATAGATAAAAAATTATATTACATATAAACATATACTATATATTTTTATATTCCATATATCATAATTGTTTTTTAGAAAATATACATGTATATTTTAATTAATTATATTGTAATGAGTTCTTATCTTTTGAAATATTTACATTTCAAAAAAAAAAGATATTCATTGTGATATTATAAGTTTATATCAATTAATACAAAAATATAATTTAATACTGTAAAATATAGAATGTTTATTTTTCTTTCCTTTTTTTCTTAGCGATTTTCTTTATTTTCAATAACTTAATTCGATGAAAATGAGACGAATATGATATATGCATATATTTCAATCTTTACTTTTTATAAAATGTTCCATATTAAAATAATTTTAATTATTTAAAAAAAATAAAATTATAATTAAATAAAATATCATGTTATAATTGAATAAAAATATTATAATATGAGAAACTTTTAATCATAAGTATCATATATATTATTGATTAATACTAGATATTACAATAATTTGATTCAATCTTGTCTTACTTTTAAAAATAATAAACATACCGAATATGCTTGATTTAGAATCTGAAAAAAAATCGTACAACTATATTATTAATATTAATAATCGAAATAATTATAGGTATAGGTAGAACATCAAAATAAAAATTTTAATTAACATACATGCGTTGAATATATCTCTATCATTACTACATTCTATATATTATATTCGCTATTTTCTGTATGCAATATACATGATGTTAATATATTCGTGGAACACTTTGATCGATTCAAAAATAAACGCAAAAGTTGATACTAAAAATGAAATTTATTTATTAAGTTATAAACAAGTGAAATTTTCGTTATAAACGAGACACAAATAGAATAAAACAGCTCTATCTCCGACATACCATTGCATTATATCTTTCTTTTGTTTCTTTGCCTCGCTTTATATAACACAAACTTGAATTGCTTATAATATAATAAATAAGACTGATATTTTTGAATACCAATTTTTATATTTATTTTAGTTTCTAGAATCGAGGCTATCTATAAAGATATATCTCACGAATATATTAACATTCTATATTTATCTACATACCAAACAACTTTTACACGATATTTTTATATACTCAATTTCTCATTAGATATTCTACCTTCACCTGTATGATATTTCTCCTTTTTTTTTTTTCATTTCACTATTTTTGTCTATCTTCTAAGATATAGTATTAATTAATTTATATTTAAATATAATTATAATCATAACTATGAAAACTTACCGACATAAAAGATGATAAGGTTAAATTAATATTTTGAAAGTTGGATATTTTACATTTTAATTCGTTAGCCAAACTTATCATAAGAATTACACGTTGAAAGCGTACGTCATAAGAATACCATTTTTCATATACCACATCATCTCCTACAGATGAACTCTAATAATTTGAAAGAATTATATTTTATTATTAAGAAAAATAATATTGTATTATTATTGTAAATTAAATTAAATTACTTTCTTTGATATGTAATCATGTTTTTGCAAATAATTGAATAAATCATACCGCTTCAAATAAATGTTGAATACAATAACATAATATATAAAATTGTATTAATGCACCGATTGTATACGATGTAAGTAAACATTTTTCAAAATAGTTGGCCGTAGTCTGAAAAAATTATTAGCTTTTCTCTTTATGAAATAAATGATAAACAAAACATAAAAAAAAATATGATTCTACTACAAAAAAATTGGAATATAAAATGTACCATTGCAAACATAAAACTCAGAAAGCAGAATCGGAAAACGTAGCTTAAGTAAAGAAATCCAATATTGGGAGAAATCAATTTTTTCAATATAGTAGTCGTCCTATAATAATTATAAATTTTTTTTATTTAAATTATTATTAATATATAAATATAAAAATTTGATGTGATTAATCGTCGATACAAATTAAAAATGAATTATGTCTAAATATATTGAAAAAAATAATATTGCTCATATTATGAAATTTAAATAATAAAAATTATATAAATAATAAAAATATTAATAAGATTTACTGTTGATTAAATTTCTATGAATACTTACTCAATTACAGTTTCAAAATGGCCGGTCAACAACTTCATTTCCCGTCTGACATTATCGTTTTGCCAAATAATATTCTTGTAAAGATCTTTCGTTACTTCATGTTTCTCTTCAAGTATGACCGCAAATTTGATTCTAAGGTATTTGTATTGAGCCGTTATTAAAAGGCACAAGTATATGGTATAGATATCTAGACTAATTTTTCTAATTATCGTATCTTCACCGCCAAGCAATTGAAGAAAAATGCCACAAATAAAAATATCGTTTGAGAAAGGTTGTTTGGAAAAAACGGCTGGAATTACAAAATCCTTGTAATAAAATTCATTATTTTGAAACAATTTGATCAACGGAGATAATATCCATATCATAAGCGAAGCGACACTTGCAATTATATAAATTTTTAAAGGCATCTCTAACGGTTTCACTGTATCAATTATCACGCTTTGAAATATTTCGTCTTCTGTAATCAGAAGATGATTCAACTTTCCAATTAATTTATATAACAACTTTTTACGACTGTGTAAATATATATTGAAAATGATCACTTCAAATGAGATGGCTATGTTCACTGTACCATCCTTTAACGCTTTTTCCCCCGATACATTGAAAAGTCCGAGAAAAGAGGCAGTCACGTATATCAGTTCTATTATCCAAGCGATGATGAAATAGATTTTCAAAACTATGGATAATTTCTCATTTATATTGTTCATCGGTAAAAAATTTCCCGAAATCATGTTTGCGAGGGCGTTCAAACGATTCAAATTTTGAAAATTCATTTCCTCCCTTACTTAATCTTCTTGTAATTTTTATGGACAGAAAAATAATAATTTTGATGAATGAAACGAGAAAAATTCTGTAAGGAAAATTGTTATGTATCTTTTTATAAATTTGATTCATAAGAAATCTTGAGTTTCGAATTTAAAAAAAAATATTCAAGTAATAATAAACTTTGGATAATTATTATATGATGAATTTAGTAGCACTAAAAATGATATTATACAAGCAGCTTTTTTTAAATATTATATTCGTATTGTATATATATATATATATATATATCACTAAAAACTTGCGAGTACTCTATCAATTCAAAGTGTTCAAAGTGTTCGATACAATTGTTGCTTGTCATTGCATTCTTCGTCTGTTTATTCTTTTTTTTATTTTTATTACCATTGCTATGTATAGATTGCAATTTAAAATTCTTTCAGTATATAATTATCGATCGTTAGTCATATAATTACAACTTAATATCTTTCTCTTTAATCGTATTTATGTGAGAGAAAGAATTTGTATATACAATATATAATTTACATAATTATCATCAAATTGCTTAAAATGTCTCATAGCTTCTTCTTTTTTTTGTTTTTTTTTTTTTTTTTATGTAGAAATTGAAATGATGAATTTATAAAGAAATTAATCACGTGAAATGAAAGAGTCGAAGTTTCTTTTCACCTTTGTCATTATATTATTGATTGAAGTGATAGTTTATTTCTTCTAGAAGTATGGGATTAAGAGAACTACAAAACTTGATATTAACTTGATATGATCTGTTCATTCTAGATGGAAAATACGTGAATTAAACCAATTTTAAATGTGTCAATTATATTTTATAAAGTGTTCTAGAACTGGCTTATTCAGCTAAATGTTTCTATTCTCATTTTATCATAAAACAGTTTCTATAAGTTATATATATTTTTATGTGTACATAGTATCACTAATAGTATTGTAGATTAGAATCCAATTGTCAGGAAACATTGTATAATATATTATTTAATATATAATATTTGTGTTCGTTTTGAAATACAATAATAATATATCTGCTTTCATACATTTTCCAGGGATATCTTGTCGTAAAAAAAGAAATGGAAAATGAAAAATAAAAAATATTCTATATAAACTTTAATAAATTTCTTTTGCTATTTGTTTCACAACTTATAAAGGTAAGCATTATTATTACAATTTGATAAAAATTAAAATTAAAAATTATCACGTACTTTTTTTATTGTTGATTTTGTTTCATACATTTCCAACTTCTACATTATTATACACAGAAATGTCTCATATCGCGTGCAATTTGAAATTGCTCCAATATGTATAATTATCAATCATATATCTGTATAACTTGATGTATTCTCTTTAGTTGTAATATGTTGTAATATGTTGTATTTTAGATATATCAATTATATTTTGACATCCTCTTATTCATAATTTGATTATTGGTTTTATTCTTGTTATCATAAAATTATTCTTAAAATAATTTTTAAATGTATATAAATAATATTAATTTTCTATTATTAATTCACTTCAAATTATTCACTTCAAATTAAATTCTTTACTAATTAAATATTATTTCAGTATATATCGATCCACATTTAAATATAAATTATAAATTAAAATACATATTAGAAATATTAATATTTTTAAATTTATTAAATTATATTGGAAATGGTTTCTATCTATTCTTATTCGTTTATTTAAGTAATTCCATAATAAATTTTTAAGTATATTTTATAAAAAATATGCATGTATGTATTGACTATTAATACAACAATTTAATTTAACTTTGTCTTGCTTTCAAAAATAACAAACATACCGAATATGCTTGATTTAAAATCTGAAAAAATAATACGGAAATATTATTAATATCTATAATCAAAATTTATAATATCTATAATCAAAATTAATAAATTATTTATATGCAAAAAATTTCAAAGTGTATCGATTAAATTTTATATTATTATATAAATAAGAAAAAATTTATATGAGAATTTAAAATCAAAATATATTTTTTTTTCAAAATCTCATTTCATTGAGATTTCTTAATGTAAATAAAAAATATATTTTTTTATAAAAAAAAATGTATATTTTGATATAATAATTACTCAAGATAAAAACTCACCGACATAAAAGACGGTAATGTTAAGTCGATATTTTGAAAACTAGATAATTTGCATTTTAATTTGTTAGCCAAACTTATCATAAGAATTATATGTTGAAACTTTATGTCATGATAATACCATTTTTCGTGTACTACATCATCTGCTACAGTTGTACTCTAACAATTTCAAAGAAATTATATTATTTAAATTATTAAACATAATTATTTTTTTTTTACATCATTTATGTATTGCATTTTCATTAAACAAAAATAATAATGTATTATTATGTAAATTAAATTGTAATTTTTTTCTCAAATTACAATTTCTATAAAAAAATCAAGTACCGCTTCAAGTAACTGCTGAATACAATAACACAATATATAAAATTGTATTAATGCACCAATTGTATACGATACAAGTAAACATTTTTCAAAATACATGGCTGAGCTCTGAAAAAAAAATAAATAGCTTTATCTTTATAAAAGAATAAGATAAGAAAACGTGATTCTGCATTAAAGAATTGAAGATGTACCGTTGCAAGCATAAAACTCAGAAAGCAAAATCGAAAAACGTAGTTTATGTAAAGAATTCCAATATTTGGAGAAAGTAATTTCTTCAACATGACAGTCATTCTATAATAATAATAATAATAATAATAATAATAATAATAATAATAAATTTTTATTATGAAATTATATAATTAAATTATATAATTTGGAAATTATATATTGGTAATCAACTATTTCATCCATTATATTTTCTTTTTGAGTGAAAAATATTTGTGGATAATTTTGAGGTTATATAATTATTATTGTATACATTCAATAATAGTAAAATTTTATAAAAATTTAGAGTTCTCACAAAATATTTTATCGATATCTTTTAAATTATTATATTTTCAAATAATACGTATTTAGACGCTATTATATAACATGAAATTTAATTACATAATGATGAATCACTGTTAAAAATATTAAAAAAAATAATAACATTAATATATAAATAATTAATAATTCAAAAGATTCAATATTAATCATATTTGCACGTATACTTACTCGACTACAATTTCAAAATGGCGGGTTAACAACTTCATTTCCTGTTTGACCATTTTATCATACTCGTAAGAGACATTTTGCCAAATAATGCCGTTGTAGAAATCTTTTGATATTTCCTGTTCGAGTATCGTCGCAAACTTGATCCTAAGATATTTGTATTGAGCCGTTATTAAAAGTATCAAGTGCATCGTGTAGAGATCCAGGCTAATCTTTCTGAGCAACGTGTACGCACTGCCAAAAATCTGTAGAACAACGCCACCAATAAAAACACCGATTGGAAAAGGTTCATTTGATATGACTGCCGGCACTTGATAATCCGTATAATAGAATTCATTTTTTCGAAACATTTTAGTGAGCGGCAACGATGCCCAAATCATAAGCGAACCAACACTGGCGATTATATAGATTCTAAGAGGCTTCTCTAAAGGTTTCACCGTATCAATTGTCACATCACGAAGCGTTTCGTCCTCCACGAGTAGAAGATAATTCAACTTTCCGATTAATTCACGTAATAAATTCTTACGATTGTGCAGATAAACGATCAAGATGAACACTTCTAACGAGATCACAATGTTCACTGTACTGTCCTTTAAAGCTCTTTCCCTCGATACATTGAAGAGTCCAAGAATACAGGCAGCCAAATATATCAGTTCTATCATCCAAACAACGATCGAATAGATTTTCAAAACGATAGATAATTTCTTTTTTATATCGGTTATTGGTAAAATATTTCCTGAGACCACGTTTACGAAAGTGTTCAAACGATTCAAATTTTGAAAATTCATTTTCATTCTTATTTGATTCTTTTTGCAATTTTTATCGGTATAAAGATAATATCGGTTTCGATACAATTCATTAGAATGAAAAAAAGAATTTTTTCTTTTTTGGTGAGTTTATTAGTATTAATTTATTATCTCTTAAAATATACTTTTTCTATTATTGTGTAATTATGTTCTTGCTTGGAAATGATCTATCGTTTCAACATATTCGATGCAACTGTTGCTCGTCATTACATTGTTGATCTGTTTATTCATTTTTCATATTTACCAGCATTACTATACACCAGAGTGCACGATATCACGTGCAATTTAAAATTCTTTCAGTGTATAATCATCGATCGTTAGTCGAGTTGCAATTACAACTCGATATCATTCTCTTTAATTTGAACAATTATTTATCTGAAAAGATCCCTATATATTCGTATGTATAAATGTATACATATAAATTATCGTAGATTTGTTTAAAATATCTACTTAGTTACTCTCTTTTGATGTAGAAATTTATCATAAATTTATAAAGAAATTAGCCATGTGAAAAGAAAGAGACGAAGTTTCTTTCTTTCACTATATTATTGAAAAGATAATTTATATTACTTCTAGAAACATTTCAAAAATCTACGAGAAAACTATGAAATTTAACATTATTCGTCGTTCGACCGGTAAATGGAAAATTGTTTATCCTCTGAGATGGATTTTACACGTGCCAATTATGCTTTATGAAATTCTGAAATTGTTTATAGTCGATTATTCTCGTTTATCATTAAAAAATTCTTAAATATAGTAAGTTAAAATAAAGTAAGTAAAAAATAAGTTATATATATATATTTAATATATAAATAATATTATTAATTTGCTATTATTAATTCATTATTTATTTAGTTCATATCAGTTATTTCAATATATATCGATCTACATTTAAATGTAAATTTATATTAGAAATTATAGTTTCATTTATCGATTATTTTTGCATCTTTAAATTTATTAATTATATTGGAAATTGATTTCTTTCTAGAATTCTTATTCGTTTTAGAATATATGTATTATAATTAAATAAAAATTCCTTAATGTAAGAAATTTTAGATATTTTAATCATCAATATCATATATCATATATCATATAAAGAATATATTATATTGATTACTATATTGTAATAATTTGATTTAATCTTGTTTTGTTTTTAAAAATAATAAACATATCGAATATGCTTGGTTTAGAATCTGAAAAAAAAATAGTACAATTATATTATTAATATTAATAATTAAAATTATTAGATTAGTTATAAATACAATATTAAAATAAATCAATTGATTGTATGAAAGAAAAAATATGAATAAATGTTAACTAATATATAGAAAAAAATAATTAAAATCGAAATACCGAATTTTAATTTATTTATAACATAATAAATAAATCTTGACATTTTTGTGTAGCAATTTTATTTATTTATTTAGCTTCTAAAATCGGTTATTCAAAAGTTTTTTAATATATCTATATATTAATATCTTATATGTATATATTTATAATTTGTTATTAAATATCTTTATAAATATATCTTTATATATAATATTTTTTCTTTCCATTTTTTATTATTTTTGTGTATCTTAAAATATAATATTAATTAATTTATTTTAATATAATATTTTATAATCATCAAATAAAGACCTACCGTCATGAAAGATGGTAACGTTAAATCAATATTTTGAAAATTGGATATTTTACACTTTAATTCGTTAGCCAAACTTATCATAAGAATTACACGTTGAAAGCGTACATCATAAGAGTACCATTTTTCATACACCACATCATCTGCTATAGATGAACTCTAATAATTTGGAACAATTATATTTTATTATTAATAAAAATAATATTGCATTATTATTATAATAAAAATTGTACTTTCTTTGATATTTAATAATGTTTTTGCAAATAATTATAATAATAAATCATACCGCTTCAAATAAATCTTGAATGCAATAACACAATATATAAAATTGTATCAATGCACCAGTTGTATATGATACGATTATCGTATACGTAAGCTTTTCTGAAAGTGAAGTCTGAAAAAATAAATACGTTTTTACTGAATGAAATAGATCAAAAAAGACAGAAAGTGCAATTCTTTTTATTCAATTAAATAAATCGAAAAGAACAGAAAATGCAATTAAAAAATTGAAATTTACGATATACCGTTGCAAACATAAAACTGAGAAAGCAGAATCGAAAAACGTAGTTTAAGTAAAGAACTCCAATATTCGGAGAAAGCAATTTCTTCAACATACCAGTCATCCTATAATAATTACAAATTTATTATTTCAATAATTAAAGTATATTTTGTAAATTATCATTTTTCAATATGGTTACATATTATGACAACCAAAAAATATATATCTACATATCTAGATATAATTTAAACATTTTGACATGATTAATTATCGATTTATTAGAATTAATATAAAAATTAATTATACTTAATAATTGTTAATTATAATTGAGAAAAATAATGTTGCTCATTTCATGAAATACAAATAATAAATGCTAAATTAATTCAAAGTTCCATGAATACTTACTCGATTACAGTTTCAAAATGGCGGGTTAACAACTTCATTTCTTGTCTGATCGTTTTATCATTGTCGTGAGGGATATTTTTCCAAGTATCCTTTGCAATTTCACCCTTTTCTTTAAGTATAGTCGCAAATTTGATTCTAAGATATTTGTATTGTGTCGTTATTAAAAGGTTCAAATGCATCGTGTACAGGTCTAAGCTAATCTTCCTAAATAACAAATATTCACTGCCAAACAATTGAAGGAAAACGCCACAAATAAAAACACCTGTTGAAAAAGGTTGCTTGGATAAAACGGCTGGCATTGTAAAATCCTCGTAATAAAACTCATTTTTTTGAAACACTTTGATAAACGGCGATGATATCCAAACCATAAGCGAAGTAACGTTAACAAATATATACATTTTTAAAGGTTTTTCCAATGTTTTCGTCGTGCTAATTGTCACGTTTCGAAATATTTCGTCTTCATTGATCAGAATGTGATTCAGCTTCCCGATTAATTCACGCAACAACTTTTTACGTCTATGTAAATATATGTTCAAGATGATCACTTCGAACAAGAGCACCATGTTCACTGTACCATCCTTTAAAGCTCTTTCCCACGGTACATTGAAAAGTCCGAGAATACAGGCAGCCAGGTATATCAATTGTATTATCCAAACGATGACGAAATAGATTTTCGAAACCATGGACGATCTCTCATTTATATTGGTCATCGGTAAAAAATTTCCCGAAATCATGTTTGCGAGGGCGTTCAAACGATTCAAATTTTGAAAATTCATTTCCTCCCTTACTTAATCTTCTTGTAATTTTTATGGACAGAAAAATAATAATTTTGATGAATGAAACGAGAAAAATTCTGTAAGGAAAATTGTTATGTATCTTTTCATAAATTTGATTCATAAGAAATCTTGAGTTTCGAATTTAAAAATATTCAAGTAATAATAAACTTTGGATAATTATTATATGATGAATTTAGTAACACAACACAAAATGATCTTTTTTTTTAATATCGTATTCGTATTATATATATATATTGGTAAAAGCTTACGAATACTCTATCAATTGAGATGTTGCTAGTCACTTCATTCTTCTGTTTATTCTTTTTTTATTTTTACCAGTATTACTATACACGGATTATATGTTGTATCGTGCACTTTAAAATTCTTTCAGTATATAATTATCGGTCGTTAGTCATACAATTAAACTTAATATCTTTCTCTTTAATTGTATTTATGTAAAGAAAGAATCTTTATGCATACACAATAATGTATATACAAATTATTATCAAATTGCTTAAAATATAGTCTCATAGTTTGTCATTTTTTTGATGTAGAAATTAAAATGATGAATTTATAAAGAAATTAAAATGAAAGAGTCGAAGTTTCTTTTCATCTTTGTCATTATATTATTGATTGAAATGGTAGCTTATTTCTTTTAGAAACACGCAATCAAGAAGAACTATAAAACTTGATATTGTTCAACAATAGTCTGGTAAATCAAAATACATATAATTCTGAAGTGGATTAAATCAATTTGATGTGCCAATTATTTTTTATAAAATGTTCCAGAATTCTTTGTGTTCAACTAATCATTCACAAAGTAAGTTATATATATTTTTATATAAATAGTATTCTTTTGTTGATATTAAAATTTTTGTAATTTCAAGAAATATTTATAATAATCAATCATTTATGTTCGTTTTGAAGTGTCTATTTTCACATGCTTGAAATAGATTTTTCAAAAGAATCTCTTGCACTAAAAAACAAAATGAAAAATTAAAGATGGTGTTTTTTAAAATTGAGTTGCAAAGTCAGATGTCTCTATTTGAATTTAATAAATTTTTCTTATTTGTTTCATAATCAATTTATAGGAACAAATATCCCTTTTACAACGACTTCTTTTAACAATTATCATATTTTTGTTTATTGTTGATTTTGTTTTAAACATTTTCAATTTTATACATTATATTACATACGTATAGATATATACTTACAACACAGCACTCATCATGTTATGCATTGTACAATGAATCGTATTATTTATGTATATGTTAGGTATTGCTTAATTTTCGTATATATATTATTTGAACATTCATAAATACATTTACTTATACATAGTATATATACAAATAATATACAATAATATAATATATATATATATATATACAAATGAATACATACAATTTCTTTTACGAATAATAATTTAATATGCTATAAAAATATATTATTGTTCTGCATGATGTGAGATGGTTAATGGTATATGTATGTAATAATAACATTCATTGAATTTTGTCACTTATTAAAGATTGATTAAAATTTTTTTTAAATTTAATTGTACAATAAAAATTTGCTTAGAAAAAGACTAAGATATACATTAAGTAAATTACAAGAAACAATACCTGCGGTAGAATATCCAAGCAGATGGTGATAAATTGTCCTTTTTCCAATTGCTTGAGTCGGCCTGTAATTGAAACTCAAAGTGCCATTTCTTGTTTCTACACTTTTAAAAATGTTTAACTGCAAATGAAAAAAAAAAAATTAATGATAGAATAATGATTTTGCTTATCATAGATTTTTTTTTCAAATTATAGATAAAAATAATACATATAGATAAAAATAATTCGCAGTCTAGTGATATGTTATAGATAAGTTCTAGATATTTTCTTATAATAAATTATTAGATATCAACTTACTTTTTTTTTTAAATAAGAACTAACTATTTTGGCTGCAATAAATTTTAGAGAACGCTTCTTTTTTTCTCGAATTAAACGACATAGAAGTTCTTGTTCCCTTATTATTTTCATAAATATTCTGATAAAGATATAGAGAAACGGAAAAAGTAAAAAGAGAGATGAGTCGAGGCTTGATTTTTACATTCGTGAAAGAAGTTCAATAAATATTCGAAATTCTTATTTCTTCTTGAAACATCAAAATTTCCTAAAATTCAAAATCTATTTTGTCAACAATTAGAATTTTAAATGTCTTTTAATATCTGGAATTCTTAAAAAATTCTTGGATTCGTGTGAAATGAATGAAAACAATTTAAAAATTGCGAAAAATATTCGATTTTTAATATCTTTCTAAAAAAATTTCTAGAAAAATAACATTAGATTCTAATTATAGGGAAGAGAGAAAGAGAGAATTATTTTAATATTTATACTCGTTGCTTATTTAAATATTCATTAATATGTTAAGTGTCAAATATAATACATATGCAACTGATTGAATTTTATTATATAAATTTACCTGCTGTTCTGATACCGACAATTTTTCAGTAAGAATATACCACATCACAGTTTCTTGACATCCAGGAGTCGTGAAAGATCCATCATAATGATAATACGTTGTATGATCTTTCGGTAAAAAGAGAGAAGGGATAAACTTGCTTTCATTTAACTCTGTACTCTTCCCGATTCCGTTAGATATTAATTCCGTTGCTTTCAGTATTGGCATTATTTCCATATTGTCTTCGCTATCCAACTGAAATGGCATTTGTGTAAAAATAATCCTTATTTATATATACGAGTTATAAACAATAATAATGAAGAAAATAATAAATATTTAATAATAAACATACCTCGAATAATGTGGCGACAACAGCAATTCCATTTTCATGCTTCGATGCAGCGCTTGTATTGCCATATTGTTCTTTGTAATGCACGAAATGTAACTCTAATGCATCACGATTGTTATCCACGGTGTGCTCGGCAGGCCAATGAAAATGTATTTGCTCTAGGATATATGTGGATTCAAGATTTGCCCCTTCAAGATGAACCGGTACACCAGATAATTGAAGTTGCACTGTGAAAAGATATTTTGGCAAGTATTTAAAAAAAAAATAATAATAATAAAGAAATTTTGTAGGATTATTTGGAGGTGTGCCAATTTTATAATTAGACAAGTTTAACAAACAATTTTATTCTATTCAACTATTAAGATAATAATATTCTTTAATGATTTGAAAAATCTTTATGATGAAGAAAGAAATTAGTTATAAATATATGTTTTACATATTTTAAATTTTAATTTTATATTTACCAGAATGACCATTGTTCGTGATTTTGCATTCAAACGCAAAATCATATCTTATGAATTTAAGTTCGCCAATATCGGTATTAATGGTATCTTCAGTGACGATATTTATTGGTGATTGTTTCTTTCCAGTCACGCATAGACCTCCCCAATTTGTCGGACCTAAACGAAGAGAAATGGAAAAGGATTCAACACGTTTCTGAAATAAGTAGAAAATTTAAAACAAATTGACACAAAAGGTGACAAATTGAAACAAAAAGAAATAGAGATAGAAACCGTCTCACTCTAATGCTTTAAATTAAATTATCCGTTTATAATTTAAAATATGAACTACAATATATATTTTTACATATTAATTTTTGTTTTCTAATCTTTAGAATTTAATTTCAATGATATCTAATAGAGATAAAATTTTTCTAAAGAATTAAAAATAAAAATAATTACCATTATCCCCCGAATACGACCAATCAGACTCTTTAGCCGCGCATAAAACTGAAACAAAACAAATTTATCAGTTAAAAAGTTGAAAATTTAAATCTAATAATATTTATTATTTGAATTGGATAACTATTTAAAAAAATTTCGCTATTTAAGCAAATTGAAAATTGGAATTTATCCCTAGATTTATTGATCGTTTGTAACTATAATAGTAAATTGTCAATAGTGATAATAATGTATATAAGATACATGAATCAAGGGAAATATCTTAAAACTCTTAAATAGAAATATCGAATTTTAAAATATCAAGAAATTCGCACACAATAAACCCTATCGAAGTCCTATAAAGGGTTATGTCAATTTTTATTAATTATTATTTTCATTTTATCCTTTAATGATAATATTAATAAACAAAAAAGAAACCAAACTATATAGATCTGAAATTGAACAGAGTCCTAGATAGAATTGGTCGCATATGTTATGTTATGTTAAACCTGTTAAACCGGTTTTCGATAAAATGGATAATAACTTTATATTAAATTACAATCAAGTTCAAGAACTCTTAAAAAATATTTTGCATACTAGAAAACACATACGTTATATATACTATCATTATCATATACCAAAAAGAACATTTTTATTGTAAAAATAATCAATAATCGATATGGTTGTGAAAATTTATTCCACCTAAAAAAAAAAAATACAAATATTTATATCAGATTACATGGACTTTCGATACAAAAAAAAAAAAAAAAACATGAAAATTAACGTACTCAAGAATCTCAATTGGGTTTATTTTTCAAGTTCTGAGCAATTGAATTCTTTATTAAAAATGCCTGTTGGCAAACTATACGGCAAGCCAGACTCTTCAACAAATTGTCAACAACAAATACCATTTATTATTTTAAACGCATGATTGATCATGCTTGAATTTGAATGCAATGTAATATATGCATGTGTATTTGTATTAATATTTAAGAATGAAATCCATGTAATTTGTTATTTAAAAAAAGCTTACCTGGATTAGTGGATTAGTTACCACAAATTCCACGACATTCAGCATTGTATGATGATTTTTACATATCATCTAAAACCATACGACGAATCGTTGTGTAACAGTCAACCTGCCTACTTGCCGAAATCCGCAGGAGCAAATCAAAACGCATCCCTATAAAATTTCGAATTAGAAAGATTGAATGTGTTTTTGCTGCACATGTAACGTGACGTAATATTCTCTCTGAACGTCTGGATATCTATGCTTCGTACTAAAGACAGGTCACTTCTAATGTACTGTTATATTAACACGACAAAGTTATGGTTATAACATATAATGACAAGAAAATTATATCCAAAGAAATGAAACGTATATGTAAATACGATTTAAAAAAAAGTTACTTACCTTTTTTTATTATTGAAAGTTATATCAACGTAGACAGAATTGGGCAAAATCTGATTAATGATTAAAGATTAAATTAAAATCATAATTACTGATGATTAAATAATAGACTATGGATTTTTATATTAAAACGTGTTCAAATATTTAACTGGCAAAAAATATGTCATATTATATAAAATATAAATTATATCTCTAGAAATAATTTCCTTTGTATCATAATAACAAATCATTCTATTAATGCAAAGTCACAAGAATGAAACTTCGACTTTTCATGTAATAACTTCTTTCGTGAAAAGAAGTTAAAAATTCTCAGGAAACAGAGAAAATCATGCCATTGAAGTCGCTTTTTATTTTATCCCGATATTTCAATCGGTTGTTGAGATATAAACACTCAAAGTTGAATCTAGATCTAGGACCTAATGATCTATATATTTTCCTGGAATTGTATCTCTTATTTGTTTGGAATTTGGGGTTGAAATAAGCGAGAAGAACGGAAATAATAAATTATTAAATTTATTTTTACACGATGATATCTCGGAAACCGGAAGTGATATCGAGATATAAATAAAAAAGCATTTCAAAGAAAGAGAAAGTTCCACGCTTCTAATGATCTTTTATTCGTTAATCAAAAATCATTATCTTTGATATTATAATGGTTTAAATTTTTCTTAATTTTAATAGAGTTTAATCGTGATGTAAATTACGCGAGAAACATATTTTATTTCTACAAGATTATCGCTTACAATATGTCTTATAATACGTTGTAAACTTCAAATTGATTTAAAAGTCCCTTGATGAAAGTGAGTTGGATTTTTATTTAATCAACTTGTTTGGATTTAATTATATTGATTGCTCAAACTGGTTTTTGCGACTCCCATAATTTTTGGACATGCAAAAAATGTAATCGAACATTTTATATTAATATTATTTGTGTAAAATATGCAAAACATTTACAGTATGAATAATATATGAAAATCCTCAGTCTAATAATTAATTCAAATAATAAATCAATTCTCAATAATTATTGATCAATAATTAAGAAAAAATAAAATAATAATAAAAAAAAGAAAAGTAAAAAAAATTGTAAAATTGAAAACTATAATTATTTTAATAATCTTTAATCATTTATTATTTACATAATTTTAGATTAATTATTTATTTTATGATGTGATTTAATTATTTTGTGATGTGATATAATACATTTTTCTTTAATATATCTTTCATTTCAAATATTTTATTTGATAATTTACTTTCAATATATTTATTATTATCTTTTTTTTTATAAATATAAAATATAATATTTTTTCCAATTATACTTTGAAAATTTGGATTGTATATAATACAATATAATATACAGTATATTATTATAACAATAATATGCATGATAATCATTCAAATAATTACAGATTATTGATTAATATATATATATAATTATTAGATTAGTCTGTTGATTATTTGATTAATGATTATGATTATGATCGCTTTAGATATTACTTAGATAATTTAATATTACTTAAATAACTTTAATAAATAATTAAAATGTAATTGATTATTGCCCAACTCTGTAAATATATGATAAAAGAATATATAAATAATAGAATATATGATAAAAGAATATTTGTTTTTTATAATTTATCCAAATATTTTCTTTCCTATAATTTTTATAATATTTATTATTATTATCATTTAATCATAATATATTCTACTAATCTTTGATCCTTTTCAAAATAAAAGAAGACTTTATTAACATTTATTATGATCAAATACAAATATAAATATGATCAAAATTGATCGCAATTCGTATTTAATTTCAAAAAGTTATTGAAAAAGATAAAGTATATGATAGATAAATTGTGGATAATATATATTATTCAAAAATTATTTAAGAAAAATAAAAGTTTTTCTCTATGGAATTATTCTTCTAATGCATATTAATAAAACATGATCATCTGATATTTATAGAGAAAATCTAATCGTTTTAAGCCGTCAGTTTGCCTATGTATAGGCGCTTCTAGCGCAAAATTAAATTACAACTTGAAAAATAAACCCCTATCAACATTTCTATACGTTAAATTTTGCTTCAGTGATGAATCATTTTACAAGTAAAAGTAAATAAATGAATAAATTAAATATAAAATAATATTAATTCTAAAATCTTATTTTCAAAAGAAATATGATAAAAAAAAGATCTATATATAATAATTAATGAAATATATTTAATAATTACATATAATAATTAATGATTTGCATTCTTATTTCATAAAAATTCAAAATCTGTAATAAATTATTATTTTTTTTTATCATACATCTGTATTTAATTATTTGATATAGAATTTTTTTTTAAATATATTACTTTTTAAATATATAACTTTTTTTAATATATAACAACAAATCTGATAAAAATGGATCTCACTCCTTCCTATAAAGTCCTCAATTTTATAATTTCATCGATGTGTCGGAAATAAGAGGTCCGGAAACCAATGATTGAGTATATAAAGCAAATTATTAATGTACCACATCCTATTATATATATGTATATATACATTGAAATATTCGCAGAACAAAGTAGTAAGTATTTACAATCTATCATGAAGGAACGTTTATTGATATAATAATCAAAGATTGTTGATAAATAATATACATTCATAAGTATTTACATATGTATATGTATGTATATATGTATATAAAGCAAAAATCATAACTGGATTTGCAGTAAATCATATCATCTTAAGATATTAAGGAAATGGCATTGAAAAAATTTTCTTTTACAACTTTTTACAAAATTTTTTATTGTTAAATTCGCCTTGACATCAGCTATAAAATCAAAAATATGCTATATCAAGATAATAACTTATCGAAAAAGAAATATATTCTTTAATAATTTCAAATATTGCAATTAAAAATTAATTTTTACTTTCGAAATATATATATATAAATATATATATTTATATATAGATTAACAAAAATGATCTAAGAAATAGAGAATTGGAGCGAACATTACGTATAAAAGGATTTTAAAATCTCTTAAATACTTAGGCTCTCTAAAGATATTAATTTCGCATTGGATATATTTATTTATATATTTTTCTTGTAAAGTTCGATATATATGTGTTATATATATGTTACAAGAGTTCATCACCCAATAAATTCGATAAGTAATGCGTGCGGCAGGAAATAAAATTAACCTCGATGATCGTTGACTAAACTGAACATTACGGAAGTAAGCACTGTATATGTACTTACGTTTCTATTAATGACACGATTAGAGTGGAAAATGATGCTGAAATTCTGAGAAAACTTATGCGATGATTTATGCACGTTTTAAATTGACACTCGATCCTTAAATGAGTGTCGGTGCTTTTAAATTGCTATTTTTCATGTTGATGAAGAATTTAAATGACTTTTAATGAGCATAAATTAAGCTTCCGACTATTATACAAAGGATTTTCCTAGAGTCAATTGTATTTTCATCAATTTTCTTCTCTAATTATTCTAATTAATCTCAAACTTGTATTAGTGAAAGATGATCGATAAGGTGATATAAAGAAAAATCTATATTATAATTATTTTTGTTTTTTATTTGCGTATTATTAAAGCGTATTGTTGTGTTGTAAAATTGTTCTTCGTTAAAAATAATTTAAAGAATTCTGTATTCGAATTTAGTATTCTTGAAGAAGAAAAGTTGGATGTCTTCTTTTATAACGTATTCATAAATAAGTACACTTAATGCATTTGGAAGCAATCAAATTTTTGCATAAAAAATCTCTTGTAATCATTTGTAATAAATACTTATTGACATTGACAACTATTTTAGATAAAAAAAAAAATTTGTTTAGAAATAGTTAAAAAAAAAAAAAAATGATCATATTGAAGAAACAAAAGATTAATTTTAAGTAAACTTAACATTTTATTTTTTCGTTTCAATATATATTATTTTACTATTCAACAAATTTTAATTGCAATAATATGATTTTGATGATGTTTTTTGAAATTCTTTATTACTTCCAAACTTTAGAACAGACTTTACGTTATAAAAAACATAATAAATAGAAATTTCTATAATGTAAATATTTAGATTGCAAAATTCAAATGTTCAAATGTTGTAATAGAAAAAACTAAACTACCTTTGTGAAAATAATGGAATATCAGTGAAAATTATAATATTATACGATCTAAATATAATTCTTTCCTTACCTATGATAGTTGTAAAGATTATGTAAAAGTTCTCCATTGTAAAAAACGCTACCTGGAACTGTCAGAACTCGATGACACGAACGTGATAGCGATGAGCATACAACTGGTGTACACGACGTTAATTTAGCTAGATAGCCCCGAGATTGACGAGACCCTACTATGTATGATTTACTTTGTGCATTGTGTTAAGCATTGTGATTGCTGCATATATAAATAAAAAATTAATTTCTTATTCTTTTAGGATCACAAGCACGCTAAATTTTAATATTAATGTTATTTATGTGATATCGAGTCAAATTTCAAAAAATAAATAGAATATCTTGTCAAATAAATAGAAAATCTTGTCATTTTTCATTATACATGTAATTTAAAATTAGATTAACGTTTCTTGATTAATTATTATTAATCACTTATTATTAATCACTTGTCTAATCCATCAAATATATTTTTTACAAATGTTAAAACAGGAAGGATTACTTTGAAAGATAATCAAGATGCAAAGACAAATAGTATCAAGTAGTATCATATGTAAAAAGTTTAATAAAAGTTCGATCATTTAATTTAAAAATAAAGATTAGATAATTCTCTATTTTGATTTAAATCTACCATAAGAAAATAACTATTATAATTATATTATATAATATAACTAATAAAATATAGATAGCAAAATATGTCACTATAATTCAATGATGAATGATCCCATTTGATGAACTCTTCTCTTAATATAATATCTCCTAAGATAGATCTCTAAATCTTTATTCAAATATAAAATGATATTGACAATGTTTTTGAGTAATTGATATGTTTTAAAACAAAACTGAACTCTTGAGATATAAAAAGATTGATATAAAAAGAAGTGCAAGTAAAAATATTAATGATTCGTTGAAATGAAAAATGAATAGAAAAGATATCAATTTACCTAAGTGATGAGATAATATCAATAAAAGGACCGAATATTTTAAATCTATTGTAAATATAGACACAGACAATACAAACATCGTTTTTATCTAATGACATAAGATTAATAACAATTTTCACACAGATTTTTTTCGCAAATTTTCTTGATAACGTCGACAGAGTATTAGACAGAGTTTGCACAAGCTACTGAATTAATAGACTATGCTCTTCCTATCTATCTGTAGACAAAGTTATAAATACAGAGTACTTATATAAATAATTCAACGATTTCGTTACATTTTGCAGCAAAGATGTCGAAAATATTCATTTTTTTCTTAAAGAATATTTCTAACGATAAAAAATATAAAATTATAAATGTTTTTTATTCACTATCACAATCAAACGAATGATTGATATTTACATACATATTTTTATAAATTAAATTATAAACTTCAAGCAATGCTGAAGATTATATCATATAAGAATATTATATTTAAATAAAATATTAAAAAATTAATTTTATTATAGAAAAATGTATATTAATATATGTCATATTAATAATGTAATAGAATGAACTATATTATATTATATTTTATATTCAAAACTTAATAAATTTTTATTTTTCTTTAAAAGGGGGTTACATTAAAACAATGTTTTATTATTGCTTGCTTCAACAGAATATATTTATAATTATTTCTTAAACACAATTGAAGGGATATTATATAGTTTATCAAATAATTATAATATAGCAAACAATTATATAAATATCTATAATTTCAAATAAAAATAGACGATAAAATTTAATTTCAAAATTATATATTGCCGTTTTATACATATAACATATATTAAAAAATTATTTTATAATTAAATAAAATAGAATTCATATATCTAGAATATTATATTACAATTTGTGTCGATTTAATGAATGGATAATACTACTTAAATTTTATACGAATAAGTATTTTCTATACAACAAACGAAATTACAAGCAAATTTCATGTTTACACAGTACATTTTATTATTCAATTATATGTATACATGCATATGAGAATAATCATCATTATTAAACAAAAATTTTTCTAATTGATTCTTATTATTCATTTTATTTATCGTTATTTCTCAAGAATTTATGTAAAATAAATATATGATTGAATACTTACCATTTTATCGAAGGAAATTCGAAATACCTCCGATTCGCGCAAGCATGTGTATATGTAAATACTAAAAGCAAGAAAGTGAAACAGAGAAGGACAGAGTGTAAAATGAACGCGGCGCGTTCGTACGAAAATAGAAAAGCGGGACGAAAATCATTTAGTGTTAGCCAACGTGCCGCTACCCCAGTTTCCTGTATCCCTCGCTTTATTCGTATTCCGTTGTATGCATAAATAAAATGACGCGGGTCCCGATAAGATCCTCGTTGAAAAGCCGAGATTCGAATTCGACATTGACCGATCCGGATCTGAGAGAGCGCATAAAGGATTGTTGCCGAAAATTGATCGCGTTTATGTGCACTCAGGTTGGCGTTGGTGGACTCGTGGTTGGTTACGCTATAATAGGTGCTTTCGGTTTTATGATGATCGAATCTCAAGGTCAGATTTCGCCGCCGTCCACAGTTTGCATCCGCGAATTAATAAGAAAACAGTTCGCCGAAGAGTTATGGCTTGGCACTGCCGGCAATCAAACCATAAACGTGTTCAATAAAACGGCGTTTCACACGGTGTCAAATCGAATTCTACGCCGGTATCAAGACAATTTCACTGGTGATTATAAGAAGGAGAATTGTAGTGGGTTAACCTCGTCCGATCTCTGGTCCTTTCCAGCTGCGATGATGTTTTGTCTTTCCGTATTCACGATGATCGGTTATGGAACACTGGTGCCTCAAACGACCTGGGGAAAGGTAGTCACCGTTATTTACGCCGTATTGGGAATCCCACTTTATGTTTTGTATTTTCTTAACATGGGAAAAGTACTCGCGCAGACGTTTCGTTCGTTGTACACGTGGTTGCACGAATGCACCGGTAAACGAAAACCTGGCCAAAGGATCACGGTACCCTCGACAGCCTGCCTTTGGGTGATATTCGGATACGTGTTGAGCGGTTCGATAATGTTCGCCGAGTGGGAAGGATGGAATTATTTAGACAGCGCTTATTTCTGCGTGACATCGCTATGCAAAATTGGGATGGGCGATCTTGTACCTGGTTGGACGCACGGTGATTTAACAGCTGACAGTCAAACCAAATTGATAATTAATTTTGTTTATTTGTTACTCGGTATGGGACTTATCGCTATGTGTTATGACTTAATGAAAGAGGATGTTTACGTGAAAGCTAAAGAAATAAAGGAACAGTTTCTCGAGATCATCGATGCCACTCATTATCAAATTGAAATGTGTTGCAAATCGGAAGTATTGAATTAAAATTTTTATATCGATCTATTGATTTTATATCGATGTATTGAAAATTTAAGTAAAAAAGAAATACGCTTTATTTTTATAAGAAGTATTTGAAGATAGATAAGATAAGAGATAATCATGAAATTATTTTTAAAATTTAACTATTTTAATGTGTATTATATAATTCTAATAAATATATATATATGTATATATTAAATATAGTTAATATAAAATTCGTATATCGAAGAAAGAATTATAAGATTCTGAATATTTATTTTTTTTTTTTGTTTCTTTATTTGATTTTCGTCAAATTAAATAATACATTTACAAAGTAAAATTTATGTATTATTAAGACAATATATATAAATAAGAGACAATTGTAATAATTATCTAACTATAAAACAATGATATTAATTTTTTTATAAATACAAAATTTTAAAATGAAACTAATTTCATTTTTACAATTAAATGTTTATTTCATTTAAATTATAAATTTTAAAAATATATAAGTATATTTTAAAAATAGAATATTTATTTTTTATAAATAGTATACTACTATAACTTAAAGTGTTTTTTTAACTTAAGTATCATCTGATTAATTAATTTGAATTATATTTTATAGCATACAATGAAAATATGAAAGAATATTATATTAAAACATGAAAGATTTAAATCATTGCATTTTCTTTTTTTGATATTTAAAAAAGAAATTTTAACAAAATATCAGAATATTGCAATCATTTATCAAATTGAACAATTTTACAACATTCCTCAACATATAGTTTCAAAAATATTACAGAAAAAATAAAGTAAGTAACAATATTACTCATCATCTTCAATTTTGATTTTAAATATTTACATTTAATTATTTAATTTTAATTATAGACGAAAATGATTGTTTGTGTTTGATACATACATATTATTTCTTATATGGATTTTACTAATATTCAATCTAAATACTATATTATAATTGTAAATAAATAATTAAAAGTACTTTGTTCATCTTATATTTAAACGATTAAAAACGTAAATATATATATTATAAATATACAGTTGCTATATCATTTTATAATGTTGAAAATGTTTTGTTATAACTTTTTATATAATATATGTATATATATTATCTATATCTATATCTATATATATAGTTTAATATTTTATTTATAAAAAATAAAAAGTTAAATTACCAACTTCATGAGTTCGAAGACCTTTTTTATATATTAAATAATTATATATATTATATATTATACGATATTTTTATATTATTATATGTGAATATATTAGAACCCAATTGTAATGAAAGATTAATTGAAATTATTGAATATCTTGTTTTATTTTAACATAGTCTATGTTTCGTTTTTTAGTGCATGACATAACGTTAATATCAGTGCATTTTTTGTTATGTATATATCATTCTATGAGTAATTTAAATGATTTAATTTATGTGAAAATTACAGTTATATCTTTCTTTTATTTTAATTTACTTTTTAAAAAGACATTATAAAGATTTATAAAATATCATACTATTTTTTGAAATTTGTAATTGCAATTGTCTTGTATAATATATTTTTTATGACATTTATGTAGTAATCATATTAAATTGATAAATTCATAAAGTCAAACTTATATGATATTAAATTTTAAATTTCGAGAAATATAGTATTACTCTTATAAATTTTTTACACTATATAACAAAAAATACAAAATAAAAAATTGTTTTTAATAATAATATTAAAAATACAAATTTATAATATATATGTAATAATAATATAACAATAATTATCTTTCATATTAAAATAAAAAAAAATAATTTATAAAGCTTAAATTTTTGAATAAATATAAAAAAAATTATATTCTTAAAAATAATAATTTCAAACAATGTATCAAAAAAAAAAGTAATACAAAATAATCTCTATTTTAAAACTACATCTTTTATAAAAATTGTAAATACATCAAAAGATAAATGTAATAAAAAGATAAAAATTTCACATGTATAAATATGTATATATATATTAAAAATGTAATATTATAATAAAAAATTAAATATATAGAATATAATATATATAAGAATTTTAAATTAAAAATAAAATTCTATTTCTATTTAAATACTAATAATGTATATTTATAATTTAGAAAAAATGTATAAAAATTAAAAAATAACTAAATAAATTTCCTTTAACAATTTTAAAAAATATTTTACGAAATATTTGTTAATTAACACTTTAAGATTTATTTCTAAAAATATAGTTATATAATAAAAAGAATTTATAATAAATATATATATTTGATTCTATAACTTTAACTTTAAAAGATCGTATATGCATATTACTAGTTTTACTATTATCACAGATGGATATTATTGGTTTACATCTATCTTATATTTCATTTATAATTTCATTAATATATATATAATTTTTTAATTCCATTTATTATTAATATTATAATTTTATATTGTATTAAATCAATAATAATATGTAAGTGCAACTTTTATTTCATTTTATTTATAATATATTTTTTTCACATAAGTGGCATAACCTAATAATTTACAAATTAAAAGAAAAAGATAAACATACATACATATATATATATATATATATATATTTTTTTTTATAGGAATTCTTCTCTATCAATAATATTTCAATAAAATTTTCAAACAAATTGATACTAATATATATAATTTAACTTCTAGAATAAAATATATGCATGTATATACTTAAGTACTTACATATGTACATATATATTTCAATCAATTATTTATCTAGTATTATTTTTCAAAATTTCCATGACTAACGAAAATTCTAATAATTAACATGAGATGTCACTATATATTTCATTGTGCTGTTTTTCACGTACTCTTAAATATATATATATATATCGTATATTACATAACCATAAAATACATCTTAAATTTTCTGAAAATGAAATATGAAAGTTAGTTACTGTTAAAAACAATTGTGAAATTCTATTAATTATAAAGTGATATTAATTATAAAAGTAATAAAATATTTATATTATAAAATAACTATTTGAAAAGAATTTAATTGTTTAATTAAATAATAATTTTAAATATTAATCATAAATAACATTATTTAAATGGAAATTATTCGACATACTCAAAAACTGAGTTATATAATTTTACCAACATTTTTGAATTCAGTCTCTTTTCATATAAAATATGTACATTCAAATTCAACAATGCCAATTGTAACACAAGAAACAATAAAGAAAATAGAACAATTATCTTTACTCAATCTTGATAAAGATTATAGCACTTCTGTTTTGAAAGCTGCAATTATTTTTACAGAACATTTACGCAATACAAAGATTGATAATGAAATCAAACCTATGTACAGTCCACTTGAAGAAAAATCAATTCTTTTACGAAATGATAATATAGAAAATAATATATCTAAACAAGAAATTTTAAAGAATGCTGCTATTTTAGAAGAAGAATATTTTATAACACCATTGCAAATTATTTCAAAAACACAATGAATATAGCAAATATATTAAAAGAATTAAGTCCACATTTTATTAACTTTACAACACAAGGACTTAAATATGGACCTCAAGGTAAAATGTTATTGAAAAACCTTGAAGAACAATGGTTTTTACATTGTATTACAATGTCACGTTATAATATGTTTCTATCAGATGAATTTAACGATACTATAGACTTTATTACAAGAACTGAAATGAGTGATATACCATTTGGATTAGCTACAATAAAAAATTCAAAATATCAATGGGATTCTAATATATTAACTATACAAAAATCAAATTATCATAGAACTGCAGAAACAGCTATTTTTAATAATGATATAGAAATAAAAGATTTATTTTATAAAATACAAAAAGAACGTAAAATTTGGTGGCGAAAATTAGCACAAAATCCTTCTAGATTTAAACTCTCTGAAGCAAAAAAAATAAAAAATTATACTACAGTTGATATTGAAGCACAATTTTCATTTGGTAATGTTATATTGGAAAGAATAACTTACCATACAGATGTTCAAAAACTATTCTCTCAGGTATTTTGTTTCTCTTTCTTTAAGAAACTTTGTTTTAACTTTTATAAATTTAACAAATTTAAAAATAACAATTATTTTTATGGACCATTTTATTTTTAGGTTAATAGTAAAAAAGATTTTATCAACATACAAATGGTTGAACAAAGAATGTCTTTAGATTGGGGATGTTTAGCACTACTTTGTGACATATGTGATATGAATAACTCGACTACAATGCATCTTCATTCCAAATTAGCACCACACAAAGTTGCATTTCATATAAAAAAATCAAATGATAAAGAGAACATTCAAAATGATGATTTAAATCGCTTTGTACTTTACTTAAATAACATCTTAAGGACAAAAGGCCTGAATACAATATTAACCAGTTCAGAAAAAATTATAGATACATGCTTGGTACCTTTCATAATTTCTGTTAATACGACTAGTCTTGAAAATGGCATTATATATATAAAAGATAGAGCAACAACTCTAAGTGAAGCAATACATGTAACCGATTTAGTAAAATATATAAGTCTGCGTTGTTAACCAACTAATATGATCATTTGAATAAAATTAATATATTAAAAATTGAAAATATATTATTAGTATAATTATAATTTCTAATTCCTAGGACATGTAACAAATTTTGAAATGATAATCTTCATTTCCAATTATGTACTTTGTATTTTAATATGTTATTCATCATTGAAATGAAATAAGTATCACACATACATTATATATTATTTAAAGATGCAATATGCTGAAAAACCAATGAGAAAGTAACAGTTTAAAATATAAATGTAACTATATAGGATAAAGATGAAAAATTATACATGGATGTTTTGTGATGAAAATACAACAAAATGGAATGCTTTACAATTAATAAAATGTATACTTTGTACACGAGCATTCCTCGATTTCTTAAAGATTGCCAAAATTTATATTATATAAATTTAATTAATGATGATATTGCTCATTTGAGCAATATAGAATTCTTCATGATAATATTTTTATACAACTAAGCAGGTAGTTGTAATTTTTTGCCTTTCAATACTTTGGTAATATAGAGGTAGAAAAAGTCACAATAAAGAATTGTTTGCACTAAACCAGCAACTATAGCAATTAGTTCATAATAATTTTCTGCATAGTAACGATACACCCAGTTTAATAGATATAAGCCTCTATAACATCCCAAAGCGAAAAGATAATGACTGGTAATGCTTTCAGCTTCTCCTGTTTTTGATACCAAAAATAATTGTGGCAATATTGCTACAGATTCCAAATAAATACTAAATGTCCATAGAATCTCTATAATTGTGAATTCATGATTAATTAATAATGCCAACAGTGACGTGGGTAGAATTAAAAATTCAATTCTGAAAATGATTAAGATATTATTAAATGATGAAATGAAATATGACTAGATTTTTTAAACAAATTTTTTAAAAGTTATATATACATATACATTATTCAAATATATTACTATATATTACTTAATACATGCATTATATAAAAAGAACATACCTAAAAGTATCATGATTATGATCATATGTAGCTTTGAATTTCACATACATTAAAAAAACTGTAGTATAGGAAGTTGCAATAAAAATGATTTTCATAAATGTATTGTATGCTGATATATATGTTGTTAACAAATCTAGATAACGCGTTGTATATACAATTGCAAATAAAATTTGCGATTTGCCACTAATACCTATAAAATATATAAAGAATATTATTAAAAATATGCTATTAATAATTGATGATTATTTTAATAAAATACAAACAATTTTAGATATAATAAACACATAAGTTATATCAATAATATATACCGGCACAGCTTCGTGTCTTCCATATTTTGAGAAGAAGAATAATAATTGCAAGAAGATGTGATAAGTCACCTAAGAGTCGAAATATATTCATATTTTCGGATGTTTAAAAGTAAATTTTATAAGAGGATCGAGAAATACTCCACACTCCTAAGTCACAAAGCATACAAAATATGACGTGGCTTTGGCTGCAACATCAGCAGATGGCTGACCGATCAACATTTAAGTTACATCTTTAATGTCCCCAATAAATATACGCAAACGTGTACAAAATATAAACATTTTATTTTTGATTTTCAAAATTAGATTAATGATAGAGATATTAATTATAATAAAATAGAAAACAGAAATACAGAATATATGAAATGTTTAATAATATTTTAAACAAATATCTTCATTAATAATTTTGTAATATTATTTATATAGCATATATTTATCACATGTCATTTTTAAGAAATATTGTTATGTTTAAAAAATTATATATTATTACAAAAGTTTTATTTTATATTTGAATTGTTACTAGATTAAATTTAAGGCTGATATATATATATATACACACATATATATTAAATATATAGTATATATTACATATTATTCAATATTCAATATTCAATAAGAAATTCTTTATATATTGAAATAAAAAAATAAACAATTTTTATTTCAATAAACTTTAATACATAAAAATTAATTTGATAAAAAAAAATAATTATATAAATTTAATATCTCGTTCTTAAACATTTTATATTGTTTAATTAAATATTTGTAAATCACGTATTATTTTAATAATAACATTTTAAGTACATTTATATATTTTTTATTACTAAAGAACATATTAACACAAATTATAAGAATAACATTAATTTAATTACATTAAATTATAATATTTTAAAATTTTATACTTAATAATAAGTGCGAAAAAATATATTTTATCAGCCAAACTTATTTTTGTCTATTTTTGTACAAATCTTGATCATCAAAATATTATTAAAATTTATTACAAGATTACAAAATTTTTTCATCAAATTATGTTAATAAATTGATATCAAATTTGTATAAAAGTTTGTGTCAAATTTACATCAAAAATATGTCAATTCTTGACAACAAAAATATATCAAGTTTTGTTATATATTTCCCGCGTTTTGTTGGCTGCACTGTATAATCATATTTCTTATAACTTTAAGATAGTTTAGATTTTAAATATACATACTTATTTATAATTATATTTATAATTATAATTATATACATAGGAATCTATGAGTCCGTATATAAGAATTCAAATTGAAATAAAAATAAAAAAAAATGTAAATCATATATTGAAAATTTAAAACCTCGTCTGATAAACTATATGCAGTTACAAATTACATATTCATCTGTGAATAATTTTTTAATTATTAATAATGATGCAGCATGTTATTAATTTGCAATTAAGATTATATTATAAAAAAAATAATTTATTAATAGAATATTTTTTTATCAAAATAATTTTTTAACAGAATAAAAGAAGATATAATACAAAAAATAAAATAAACGAAAATTATTTTTTTATTTTTAACTAATTTATTTTTCTCTGAACATCTGTTTATCGTTTTTGCTATTTTTTTCAACTAATAAATTATAAGAAAATAATTATTTATAGATATATTCATAATAGATAATTATTTATAGATAGAATTTATAAAATATTGAATATTATTAATTAAAATTGAATTCGTTCGAAATTATAATTTACAAGATATATTATTTAAAATTAAAAATAAAATAAAAATTAATAGATAATAAAATAAAAAAATATGTATATTTCAAATTTAATAATGATTAAATTGTATTTTATAAATATTTATATATTGCTTTAAAAATAAAAATTTCCATAATTTTTTTTTTGTTCATATGTAATATCATGAAAATGATTTTATCTTTGTTTCAAGATTTAGAATTATTTGAAGTCGTGTCTATAAATATATATAGTCTAAGTTCATCATTTTTATTAATTTAGAACAAATAAGAACAACGCGAATGTAAAATAACTCTGTCATTTCTTTGTTCAATGGAACATCATTTTCGTTCATCGTTGCTATTTTCTAATGTCATTGATAGCTATTTTATTCTGATATCTGGCAATTGTTATATTTTGTAATATTTGAGTAAATTCTATCTGGTATTAAATTTTGCTATGTACTTACCTTACTTTTTTGTTTAATGTGACAAATTTTGGTACTTTTATTTATATAAGAGTATCGGTTTAAAAAAGTTGTTAACTTATCAAAATATTGTGTATATTTACATAAATATAATATAATCTTTATTAAAAGTTATTAATTAACAGTAAATAACTTGCATTATACATATTTGTTTTATATGAAGATTTTAATATGACATGATGGTTTTATAATCGTTATTATTGAATTAAAATCAATTATCAAGATGACATCGCCTGCAGTTTCAAAGGTATATTTTATAATTCTGAAATTATAGACATATTTTATAAAACCAAAGAGGAAATATTATATAGATATTATATAGAACTAAAATAAAATCCTTTATAGAAATTATTGTACAAAATAAATAATAAAATAAATAATAAATATAAATTTATAAATATCATTTTCATTATTTATTTATATATTAATAAAATGATTGATTAGATTTTATTTTATTATATTATATAAATAATTGGCTGTAAATCTTTTTTACTTATTTTTGATTTGAAATATATTATAGCATAAAGCATAAAATATTATGTTTTTTATTTTATTTTATTAAATGTATGTCTAAATAAATTTTTTTATAATTTTTTTTATAAATTTATATAAAGCTATCTTAATAACAAAAATATTCAATTAATAAAATTTATTAATATTAATTTTATATTATTAAATCAAAGTTTAAATATTTAACATTTTAAACCTTAGTTTATTTTTTAATTTATTTAATTTTTTTTTTGCTATATTTAATTTTGCTTATGTTCAATTTTTTTAGAATATACATTCTTTCTCATTATTATTATCTATAAATAAATTAAAAATTATTTTTATAAATGATAAAATATTAATTTTGAACAATAGTATTATGTATATTTAAAAAAATTATACTTTTTTTATCTTTAATATAATATAATATATAAATAAAAAAAACATGATTAAAATTAGATAATAATATTATTTACTATAATTATAATAGTTATTACTATAACTGTAATTTTAGGTTTCAGTTGTACCTTCCATACAAGAATTTAGTATCAGAGTACCAAAGTATGTAATTTTTTTTTAATTATAAAATATATTTTTATAGAATTAATTTTATTAAATAAGATATTATATTATTATTTTAGAAATAATAAAAAAAAACACAATGTGATGCGTTTTAATGCAACATTAAATGTTGATTTTTCAAAATGGACTCAAGTGAAAATGGAACGTGAAAATAATATGAAGGAATATAAAGGAATAGAAGAGGAAATGCCAAAATTTGGAGCTGGATCTGAATTTGGACGAGATGCAAGAGAAGAAGCAAGAAGAAAAAAATTTGGTATTACAAGCAGAAAATACAAGCCAGAAGATCAACCTTGGATTTTAAAATCTGGAGGAAAAACTGGAAAAAAATTTAAAGGCATAAGGGAAGGTGGTGTGAGTGAAAATGCTGCATATTATGTTTTTACACATGCTGCTGATGGAGCTATAGAAGCTTTTCCATTGCATGAATGGTGATTTAATTATTTGAACTATTTAAATTGTATTTTATTAAAATTTTAATGCATATAATATTATAAATGCATATTTATATTTAGGTATAATTTTCAACCAATTCAGAGATACAAAGCTTTGAGTGCAGAAGAAGCAGAGCAAGAATTTAGTCGTAGAAATAAAGTAATGAATTATTTTTCATTAATGTTACGAAAAAGACTTAGAAATGATGAAGAAGGTGCAGATGATGAAGAAATAATAGAAGGTGGGAAGGGTAAAAAGCCGAGTAAGAAAGAGAAAGATTTAAAAATATCTGAAATGGATGAGTGGATGGATAGCGACGATGATGATTCTCTTAGTGATGATAATGAAAGTAAAAAAAATTCTGATGAAGAAGATGATACTAAGAAGAAAAAGAAAGGCAAAGGTGGATGTTATATCTGATACTCTTAAGAAATGCATGTGGTAATTATTCTTAATAGCTGTCTAGTTATTACCACATTTTCTTTATTTTTGCTATTAATATAATAATATGATAAGATTGTTAATTGTATATTTATAAAATTAATATTTTTACTATGCAAAAATGCATTTGAAAGCGAATAAGAATAGAGTTATAAGACTTCTCTCTTATTTTTTTTTTCTTTTTTATTATATGATTATTATATGATTCATATAAAATTTTTATCTAATTCCTATTTCTATACTTTGAATTTTTAGACATTTGCATAGTATTAATATTTTCATAATAAATTGATATGTTCAATGATTTTGAAAGAAATAATTTATAACAGATTATATGATTCAATTATGCAAATAGATATTCAGTCGAATCTCAATAATTCAAATTTCAAAAAAACTAAAATTTCGAGTAGAGAAAGAGATTTCAACTTACTTTTTGAGTAAAAAAAATTTAACAAGTGAAAATTTAATATATAGGGATTTTAGAAAAGTTAATATTTTCTTTAATTAGAAAAATTAAAAAAAAAAATTTGTATGTATCGTTTTATTTTTAGTTTAAAAAAAAAAGTGAAGTCATAATCACTTATTGATTATGTTTGTGATATATAATTGTAAAAATTATATCATATAATAGAGTAAAATAATAATATAATATAATATAATAACCATTAAAGTAAATTTCGACTTAGAGATTGGACTATTTTAAAGTCGAATTGCAGGAATAAAATTATATAGTTCAAAAAAATGTTTGAATTAAAGTTAATTAAACTTTTTTTAGTTTAAATTTAAACATGTTAAGATTTTCACAGCTGAATGGAAGAAAATGAACATTATTGTAATCTTAAAGAGATTTTCGAATTATAAAGATTCGAGTTACTGAGATTTGTCTGTATTATGAATTTATTTTAATAACAAAATTTGCATATAATGCAATAAATAATTTTTCCATATTTTTATCATAATTTAATTTAATAATAAATTTAAATATTTATATTAGTTGATATTAAGAAAAAGAAGAAGAAAAATGCTTCAGATGATGAAGCATTTGAAGAGAGTGATGATGGGGATGAAGAAGGTCGAGAATGTGATTATATTTCTGATTCATCAGATTCTGAATCAGAATTGGAACAACAAAAAGAGATTAAATCAGTTGCAGAAGAAGATGCATTAAGAAAATTGCTTGCTTCTGATGAAGATGACGAAGATGATGAAGAACAAACGGATAAAAAAGATGGTGATGATGAAAAAGATGATGATGATGAACATAAAGATAAAGATGAGAAGGTAAAATTAAAAGTTTGAATATTATGATTATATTTATTTTAAATAAAATATTTTATTTACTGATTTTTTTAGGATAAAGATAAGATTAATAAAGATACAGATAAAAAAAGAGATAAAAAGAAAAAGAAAAAACAATCTAAGAAAAAGGATTTAAAAAAACTTACATCAGGAAAAGATTCTTCTAGTGATTTTTCTAGTGATTCAGATTCAGAATCTGATACAGTAAAAGAAAAAGATAATAAAAGATCTAATAGTGCACATAGCTCAAGATCTGCAACACCTACACCTGCTGGAATATCAGATTCTTTAAAAAGAAAACAATCAGGATCTCCAGATTTATCACAAGCGAAAAAATTAAAATTGGATAATTTTAATTTAGTGCCAGTAAATTCTTATATTCCAGGAATTAGGTATGATAATTAATATAAATATAATTGTAAATTATAAAAATATTATAATAATATTTTTTAATTTTATAAGTTTTTCAGATATTATTTTATAGTTATTATAAATCTATTTTGTTATTTAATTAAAATTAATTAATTATTTAAAAATATTTTTAACAAAGTACTATTATAAAATAATTTATTGCTATTATTTTGAATTAAGTATATTTGTTGAATTTTTATTTATTTTTTTTTTTAGTTTTCTCATATTATGACAAATCTTTTATTATTATAATTTAGAAAGATATTTATAATTCTACAATATAATTTTTAATATAATTACGTTGCAGTGAATCTGGAATTACAGAAGATGCAGTACGACGATATCTTATGCGTAAACCAATGACAACAACGGAACTTTTACAAAAGTTCAAATCGAAAAAAACTGGTCTTACTTCTGAGCAGTTAGTTAATGTAATGACTCAAATTTTGAAAAAAATTAATCCAACCAAACAGACAATAAAAAATAAAATGTACTTATCTATTAAAACACAATCTAATTGATATTTTTTAATATTTTTATATTAGTAAAATAATTTATAGTATAATTTCTATTTTAAATCTTAATATCTTATTTATTTTATGTCATATGTAAAGATAATACTTTGTATAAGAATAAAATATATGGAATAAAAATATTTTTTCTTTTATTTATATCTCTAATAAAGAATGACAGATTAATTAGATTTAGATTAAAAATGAAATAAAGAAAGTGAATGAAATTAAAAAAAACTATATAAAATGAAAAAAAATGGAAGCATATACATATAAAAAAATTAAAAGAAAAGAAAGAAAATGGCGGGAAATTTTTGAAATCATTGTAAAAAAGAGGAAGAAAATGAATGCAAAGAATATAAATCAATTTATGGATAAGAAAAAAAAATTTTAATTTAGTTCATTATAATTATATAAATAATTCAATGTTAGTATAATTAAAGTTATACAAAAATTTATGATTAGAAATTATTAATTTTTATTCTGTTCTTATTTATTTTATTTTTATTTAATTTATTATTATAATATTTAATTATAATTAAATAAAATAATTATAATAAGAGAAAAATGTACACAAAGCGAAATACGAGGATAAAGAGCTTTAGTAAATACGAATTATTATTAATCTATTCTCTATTGATCTATGATGATATGAAATCAAATTTCTATTATTTATACAAAAATAATTAATGAATGATAATTTATTAACACATAAATAAAAATTTAAATATAAATTAATTAAAATTTAAATTGAAATTTAAAAATTTCATTCATTACGTTTTTTATTATGTTAAAAGAAGTTAAAAACTAAGCTATGCCTAATATATGAAGTTCAAATCTATATAATGAAAAATGATAGAAATCACATGATTGAAGAAATTTAAATCATTTGATAAAGTTGTGACTTTGAGCTTATCAGTGATATTATAATTCTGAGTTTTTGCAGTATTGCCCTCACTGACCCAACTATTATCACATAGTAATACAGTAACTTTAATTTAAAATAGAAGTAACCATATTACATTTTGTATAATTGTTGTCTTATTATCGTGGTTTTAATGAATTTAGTGAATATTAAATATTGTTTTCATAATTTTTTTATATTCTTTATATGATTATATAGAGAAACATTGAAGATTCTTTAATTACGCAATTGCGAATTTAATGTGAATTTATTGAGAAAAAATAATATGTCTTCAGTTCGTGGTATTAATGTAAGAGAAATATATTATATAATACAAAAATAAATAAATATTGTACATAATATTTTATAATTAATAAATAATAAAAAGACAAAAATTAATGTTATAAAATATTTTAATTAAAAATATTTTTCATAGAACTTGAAAGGTAAAATAATAGCAATTAGAAGAGAAGATCAATCAGTATGGGAAAGAAGAGCTCCTTTAGCACCTGCGAATGTTCGTCGATTAATTAGAGCAGGAGTAAAAGTAATTGTACAACCTAGTAATAGAAGAGCTTATCCTGCGCATTCCTATCAAGCTGCAGGTGCTATATTGCAAGAGGATATTAGTTCTGCTTCTGTTATTTTCGGAGTGAAACAAGTTCCTGTGGATCAACTTATATCCAATAAAACTTATTGTTTTTTTTCTCATACCATCAAGGCACAAGAAAGTAATATGCCACTTCTAGATGCTATACTTGAAAAGAATATACGTTTGGTAGATTATGAGAAATTAACAGATATTAACGGACAAAGAGTGGTTGCGTTTGGAAAATATGCTGGTGTAGCAGGCATGGTAAATATATTACATGGACTTGGATTAAGATTACTTGCATTAGGACATCATACACCATTCATGGTAAGATTAATTTAAATTGAAAAGTTAATTAAGTTAAGTTAAGAATAAAGTGAATTTTTTAAATATTTTTGATTGATTGTCTTTTTCAAATTATCTCTTCTCTTTATATTTGATATATTATATAGTGAAAATATAAATAATTAATTTTTATTATATTTTATAGTTTTAAAATTGATTTTAAAATAGAGTATTCCAATATTCCGATGTTAGTAACAGGAAATTTAGAAAAAATCGTTGAATTTTTTTTAGACATCAAAAGAAATTAGTCTTATTTTGCCATCGAATGATTTATGATAGGAATTTGGTTTTAATAAAGTTATGATGTCCTGAATGAAATCAAATTTAATTATTATAGAAAGATCCTAAATGACCATTTTGGATCTTTACAGCTGTGAATTATAGACATAGCTCTTACAGAGATTTTTATGAAAAATAATTGAGTTAAAATTGAAAATGGCAAAATTTACATTGTCAAAATAAATAATATAACGAAACGGTTAAATTAAGAAATACTGATTTAATCTTTTTAGAAGATTTGATCGTGAAATGGGAAAAAGATTTTTGATGAAAGAACTATATATATCGAATCGCTCCTGTGCCTTTTCTATGCAACTTTAAAAAAGAAAGAAGTCTTGATTTCTGACATGTTTTAATGTTCAATTTCTAACATAGTTTGTTAACAAATTTATATTCTGAAAAAAAATATTACATTTTACACCAGTTCGTCTTTGTTGTCGAAATATGAAAGATAAAATGATATAATTAAATATATTTCAGCTTTTAATGATTTTATTTGAAATTTATTTAAAATTTTATATTGCTTTATACTGATAATGATTTATATTTATATTTACATAATAATTAATAAAAGAAATATAACAATTCTAAATGAAATTTTTTCTAGTCAATGCATACATACATAGAAAGAGATGAACCTGTGCCATCTTCTTGCTCATACCATAATTATTATTCATGTTATGTAAATTAATCTAAAATATCATTTTAAGTAATCGATTATTAGATTATAAGAAATAAATTAAAAATATTTCCTTAAATTAATATTTCCTAAAAAGCTTGAATGCATTTGATTATTTATGATTTGTATTACTTCATTTTTCATATCTCTAGAACGAAGATGAATAGACTCATATATGTCATAATAATATTCTTTGCTCTTAAATTTATTATTATAAATTTTGATAGTTTTTATCTGGAATATCCTGTATAAATTAATTAATTATATAATTATATAATTAATTATATTTTTTATCATGATAAGAATTATATTAATACTTATTACATACACATACACATATATACATATATATTATTTTTATATATCTTAATATATTTTATATATATTTTTATTATATATATATTTTATATATTTTTTGTTTTAAAAATTATATATATAATGTCAGATATTGGAATCGTTTTTCAAGCGCACAAATTTTGTAGCTTCAGTATAGATAAGGAGAGTAAATTGTGGAGGAAGAATAGAGATAGGATAAAAATTGTGAAATCAGCATCATCTTTAGAATATCATAAATAAAACATAAATATAGATAAAGAGAGATAAATAATAAAAAAAAAGAGAAAAATAATATGGAATAAAAATTTATTATAATATACTATATAATATATTATAATTTGACATAACAAAAAAATCAATATTATCAAAAATATCAATATATTTTATAAAAATAAAGCATAATAGTTGTAATTTATTATATAATTTATTATATTTATTTATATAAAATAAAGGAATATATTTTTAAATTATTATTATTAAATTTTATATAAATTTATACATATCTAAATAACGATTATTATTGTTTACAGCATATTGGACCAGCGCACAATTATAGAGATTCATCTATGGCACGACAAGCTATACGAGATGCAGGATACGAAATAGCATTAGGTGCCATGCCAAAATCAATTGGACCATTGACTTTCATTTTCACCGGTAGTGGTAATGTGAGTCAAGGAGGACAAGAAGTTTTTCAAGAGCTTCCACACGAATATGTACCACCTGAAATGCTGAAAAAGGTTGCTGAACATGGTGGTAAGTATTGCAAGTTTATTTCTGATCCCCTGAAAATATATTAATCTTGCAACTATTTTATGGATATTTTTTTATATGTATGATTCATTTAAAACATTAAAAATAATTATTATTATCTCTTCTATTGTTTCAGATACGACAAAGATATATGGATGTGAGGTAAGACGAAGACATCATCTAGAAAGGAAAGATGGAGGTGGATTTGATTCTGAAGAATGTGACAAGCATCCTGAGAGATATATTTCGACTTTCAGCAAAACGATTGCACCATATGCATCAGTGATAATTAATGGTATTTATTGGGCAGTCGATTCGCCTAAATTAGTAACGATACCAGATGCGAAATACTTGTTAAGACCAGCTTATACACCTTGGCTACCATCAAGCGTTGGTGCACCCTCTTTACCTCACAGAATGTTAGCTATCTGTGATATATCTGCAGATCCTGGAGGCAGTATCGAGTGAGTAAGATCAAGATCAATATTAAATTAAAACTTTTTTTTTTGCGATATGAATAAATGTATAGTAGTAATATAAGTTTCATCGTTTGAAATGTCAATAAAAACGATGTCAATAAAAATCTTCATCAAAGATGCTTAAAAGATTTTAACTTAAATAAATGTAAGTGTTCATTTCTAAAATTTTCCTAGATTCATGAACGAATGCACAACTATTGACACACCATTTTGTTTATACGATGCTGATCGTAACAAGGATACGAAATCTTTTAAAGGACCCGGGGTGTTAGTCTGTTCAATCGACAATATGCCAACTCAATTACCAAAAGAATCTACAGATTTCTTTGGAAATCTTTTGTATCCTTATGCGTTAGATATTATTCAATCGGATGCAAAGGCACCGTTGGAGGAACATAATTTCAATCCAGCTGTACATGGTGCAATAATCGCATCTAATGGGCGGTTAACACCTAATTTTGAATATATTCAAGAATTAAGATTGTTGAATCATCGCTGTAAACATAAAGCAGATGATAAAGCACAAAGTAAAAAGGTATATAAAAATAAAATCTTATTTTTTTTTTCTTCACTTTCACAAAATAAATTTTTGCGACAAGTATAAAATAATATAAAAGTAATTTTTATAATTGGAGTCCTAATCATCAAGTTTTTTAAAAATTGAATTTACATAAAATATATTATTGGCTGGTTGTAATGAAAGATTAATTGAACAATATTTCTTTTATATTTTTTTCATAATATTATTAAATAAAAAAAAGAATTTTAATTTGAAAAATTACTCGCATCAATTAATTAATTCTGAAGGCTTCTAGGAGTTTTCAATTTAAGAATTGCTATTCCATATAGTAAGTTTTATAAGAAATAACATTTTCAAATTGGATTCTTTAATTTCTTTAAAAATCAATGCACATATGTATATATTAGATATTTCATATCGAATTAAATTTTTTATTTAAAAATAAAATATTTTAGATATTAGATATATTATAGATATTAATTACAATTAATAATTAATTGTAATACATTAAAATATATTATTTTATGAATAGGTTGTTGTCCTTGGTGCTGGACATGTTTCCGGCCCGTTGGTCGAATATTTACACAGAGATAACAACATACGTTTAATTGTTGCGTCTCAATTGAAAGAGGAGGCAGACATTTTAGCAAATAATTTTCCTGGCGTGGAACCAGTTTTATTGAACGTTGTTGAACGTCCCGATACATTAAACGACATTGTTAAATCGGCGGATGTAGTGGTTTCCCTATTGCCTTACTCTTTACACCACGTCGTTGCAAATGCATGCATACATGCTAAAACTCATTTAGTAACAGCAAGTTACATGAATGAAGATGTTAAATCTTTACATGAAGAGTAAGTAATAATTTTAATAGATATTAACAAAAATGAGGAAAAGGTATTCTGATCTTCTGATAAATTGATCCTTTCATATATTTATAGTAAAAGCATCTGTAATAATTCCAAATGATATTATTTACTAGATAGTGCTTGGTTAATTGAACGAATTAAAAAATTTTTTGTTCATTTAATTATTTATTTCTACCAATTTCTAGAATTGGAATTCTACTTTTTGAGACATATACATAAAAAGCATTGATCCAGGCGGTTTAAGTTAATAGCTCATTCGAAACTAAACTAAAACATCATCTGTATCATTTCTAGTATTGTTTAGCTATTTATTTAAATTTATTTAAATCCATTGAATCGATGCCTGTAATATATTGTATATTGATTAAGATACGCATTACAAGACTTTTACTTCGAAAAAGAAGAGACTGTCAATAATTTTCAGAATAACTATCTTCTCGAATAAATGACAAGTTCTAGTGCTTATTCTGCGACAGTTAACTGAGTATTACTATTAAGAAAATCATAATTATGCAAAAAATTAGAATAATTTAAAATATTTGGAAAAAATATAAAATTGGAGATTCGTTTTACTATTCTTTTCTCTATACAATATATTATATATTTAAAGATATCATTTATGAATACAACATGAATATAAATAAATGATAACGATTAAATATATTAAAATATTAATTATTAGGGCTGTAGCAGCAGAAGTAACTATACTTAATGAAATAGGCTTAGATCCTGGTATCGATCACTTGCTAGCTTTAGAATGTTTCGACAATGTTAAACAAGCTGGTGGGAAAATCGAGTCTTTTATTTCCTGGTGTGGCGGTTTACCCGCACCAGAATGTTCATCCAATCCCCTGCGATATAAATTTAATTGGTCACCACGAGGGGTGTTGCTCAATACTTTGGCATCGGCCAAATATTATTCCAATAGACAAGTAAGCAAAAATACAATTTACAATTAAAATATCTCCAAACAAAAATGGCTCATCATTTTAGAATATTATAAACATTTATCTGATTATCTGATAATCTTCATCACCATATTTCCCCCAATGAGAAATCTTGAAATTTTGTTTCCATTGTAAAGATTGTAGAAATAGAATCAGGAGGAAGTCTTATGTCTGCGGTTCAAGATTTAGATTTTTTACCCGGTTTTGCGCTGGAAGGTTTTCCAAATCGAGATAGTACGATTTATAAAGATTTATACGGACTTAATAATGTCCACACGATTCTACGAGGCACATTAAGATTCAAAGGTTTCTCTAATACTATACGAACTTTACAATATCTTCGGTTAACCGATTCTAATCCACATCCAAGTTTACATCCAAATGGTCCAGATATTACATGGGTATGTATACATACGTATACAAAGTGTCACTATAATCATGGAAAAAGTCGATTTGAGAGATTACAACAAATACAAAATTTACTATATTTGCAAAAATTTTGATTATTTATCTATAAAAGGCTTATTTATTAACGATTTAAGTTTATCTTTGTCTTACTTCAATGTAAAAATTTAATTATTTGTAATTTGATACATAAGTCTTGATATTTTTGTATATTAACTTGTCTTTGCTTTAGAATCGATATAAGGAAGATGTTCTACGAATATTAATATTAACATCCATGTATAAACGCGGTTCACATATCGTCTAAATTTATCGGTTTATTATTTCAGAGAGTATTAATTTGCAACCTACTTGGTTTAGCAAATGACAATATTTTTTACGAAAATTTAAAGAGAAAATTAGCAGAAGTGTTAAATTCGGAAGAAGGCGTGAAAGCAATCGAAGATTTAGGCCTTCTTCAAGAAGATTTAGTATTAAAGTTAAACACTCCGCTCGATACATTAACCCATTACTTATCGAAGAAGTTATGCTACGATCAAAACGAACGGGATCTGGTAATTTTAAGGCATGACGTGGGTATACTCTGGCCCGACAATAAGAGAGAAAACAGAGAAATTAATTTAGTATTATACGGCGATAAACAAGGTTACTCTGCTATGGCACGAACAGTCGGATATCCGACAGCAATCGCAGTTAAAATGATCCTTGACGGTATTATTCTTTTTTCTTTTTTAATTGGAATTTTTAAACTTGACAAATTGTATTTGTTTATTTTTTATTTCGTGTTAATAGGTGAAATTCAAAAACGAGGTGTGATCCTTCCATTTACTCCGGATATTTATCGACCTATATTGAATCGATTAAAAGCCGAAGGAATTGAATTTTTTGAAACGTCCAAATGGCTCTAATCTTTTCATGATATTAATTCCAAGTGATTCTAAACATTGTGTAAATAAAATAGAAAGAATTGAACTAACAATATTGATTTATCGCATTAATTTATCCTTATATAATATCTTTAATATTTTCTTTACAATTATTATAAAAATATTAATAAAAAATATTATTTATTTTTTATTAAAGCGTTTTTTATCATTTCTATATCTTATTGTACAATCTCTCATCTTAGATTCCTCTAAGATTCACGAATTTAATCTTGATATTAATCCACGTAAATTATTATTCAAAATTTGTTTCTTATATGAAAAATTATAATAGTTATGGATTAACATTAAATCATGTAAGACATTGTGTACATTCTATTTAAACATATAATTGCTTGTGTAGATATATGCACAAGTACTTTTATTCTTCTATAAATAGATTCTACTCTGGAATTCAACTTGCTCTGAAGCAAATTGTTAGGTACGTTTAGTAGTTAGAATATATTTCACTGTAAAGGCGGACAGTTATTCCTTTACGAAGTAGTTTTTATTCAATGTGTTACAAAACATTGAACTTTATAAATTATTTTTGGATTTATTTAGTTTAAGTAGACGATTTTGATTTATAGAATTTTGTTTTATAGAAATAAGTAATATTATTACATTTGTAATACAATTTAAAAGTTTTTTAAAATCTTTTCATAATTCTTATAAATCAAAAATATTTTTATCGAATTTTTATATTATATTGAAAGTTCTTCTAAAGATCTTAGATTAAATAAAAAAAATTTATTTATTAGAATTTAGAATTTCTTGGAATTGGAATAATTAAAAAAGATGTATTATTTGTTGTAAATTATATTATTAGATGATACATGTATATAAAGACATGATGATATATTATATGTACTAAATAAATTTATTAATTCATTCAAAAATGTTGCTCAATTTTGTATAATTAAATTATTATTTAATTGTTATTTAATTAGTAATTGAATAAATTATTTGTTTAAATTTTACTACAATTTTTTTAGTTTTTAAATATATAATATAATATATAATAGATTATCTCGTCATAATTATATGTTATATATGTAATTAATTTAATGTATGCATATCTTTCTACAAAACAAAATTGTTAAAAGCAATGGAATCTCAAACTTGTGTGATTTGTGGAGGACATTCAATTCATAAGTGCAGTGCCTGTGAAAATGTTTATTACTGCAGCAAGAAACATCAAAAAGAAGATTGGAAGAAACATTCAAAAATTTGTAAATCCTTTAAGGTTAGAAATATTTTATTAATATTTTTCTATTAATCTTTATTTAATCAATTTCTCATTATTATTATTTTAAAATATAACAAAATAATATCATGACTAATTATAGAGCTCGATAACTATTTTAATAACACTGTCCAACTTTTAAAACATTTTTTTGATCTATGATATTTACTAAATAATTCTTTCAACCCTTATTATCATATATTAATCCTATTATAATTTTTTTACTTTATTTAAATTGAATTATCAAATCTCAAATATTTTTTATTGCAAGTCATATAATGCCATTTATTCAAAAATGAGTCTTCATTGTAATTTTATTTGTTTTTATTTTTGTACTATTATTACGTACTATTATATTTTTTAATAGAAATTTAAAATTTAATTTATTTATTAAACAGTTATTTATTAAAGAGTAATACTTTGCTATAGTTTTTCATGAAATATTCCAATTATTTTATTTTTCGTAAATTATATTGTAATATATTAATAGTTCGAAAATTTATGATTAATTAATTATATATACATTTATTATTTTAAAGTTAGCAGAAAATCCTTCATTGGGTCGTCATTACGTAGCTACAAGAAATATCAAAGTTGGAGAAATTATTCTACGGGATGATCAACCCCTGATAACAGGTCTTATGTACAACAGTGTCCCAGTGTGCCTTCAATGTTATACGGTTTTAAATCAAGAGATTGCAACACCTTGCGAAAAATGTGGCTGGCCTCTTTGTCAAAATTGTAATGAACATGGATTGGAATGTAAATTTTCTTCTTCTCGCAGAGATTCTAAGGTAATTATTATTCTCAAGATTGCAAATTTTTAAAATTCATTGAGAAGAATATATGCAATATCGCAGATTTCAATAACCGAATTTGGCTATCCCCATCCGAGTTATCAATGCATAAATATTATAAGAGTTTTGTCATTGAAGGATACTAATCCAGAATCTTATAAAAAGTTAATATCCCTTGAAAGTCACTGCAATGAAATAAATAATTCTAAGGAGTCATTAAATATTGCTCATTTTATCAAGAGATTTTTTAAAGCAGATGACATATCGGAAGAAGAAATTGTAACAATCATTGGCATCTTCCAGGTAAAAATTTAGTATTGTAAATTTATAATAGAATATCAAAATTTTTGGCCACGTATTTTCTTGATAATCTGAAAAATTGAATTGATATATTCCAATAGTATATAAAATTTTATTTTTATTTTTATGTTTATGAACTCTATATTTTATTCTATGTTTGGAGGCTGGAAGATTAGTAGTTCTGAATAGTCAATCATTGTTTTTTAAAAATACATAAATAATACATAAATAGATTAAATTACAGGTTAATGGTCACGAAGTTCCATTAACCGATTCACCATATGTAGCGGTTTATGAAATGGCATCATTACTTGAGCATAATTGTAGAGCCAATTGCTCAAAAAGTTTCACTGATATGGGAGGATTGATTATTCGTGCTGCACTACCTATTACGAAAGGTAATTATGTTCATATAAAATTCAGATAATTTATTTAATTATATGTTCTTTTATAATAATAACTAATAATTAATATTTTCGTGTTATAAGCATACAACATAAATAGATTCGTGTAATTATAGATTGAAATAAAGCCTATTATACATACGTTATATTTATTTAATGAAATAAAAAAAAAAAAAGAAAATTTACAAAGAAAAAATCGATGATTGGTAAATGATTGTTTATAAAAGTTATAAGATCCCTTTTTTCTTTTTATAAATTATTCAAAGATCAATTCATCATTAATTATTACGAATTATTTATTTTTAATTGTTTACAAATAGATATAATTTTATAATTGTAAAAAATATGTTTTAGGAGATCATATCTCTATATGTTATACTGATCCATTATGGGGTACTGCAAATAGAAGACATCATCTTTTTAAAACAAAATTTTTTGAATGTATTTGTAATCGATGTCAAGATCCTACAGAATTTCAAACTATGTTTAATGCTTTAAAATGCAATAATATGTAAGTTAATGTTAATTTCATATAAATTATTATTAAAATTAAGAATATTTTTAAAAAAATTCCATCTAGTAAAATATACGCATATAGAGTAAGAAATTGATGAAAATAATAAAAATTTGTCAAATTTTTCATATAAATTTTGAATTTTCTATTAAACATTTAATAGAATTTCCATAAGAATTGAAGAATAAATTATTTTCATTTCACGTCTAATCTAATATAATAAATGAAATAATTTCGTTTTATTTATTTTCAGAAATTGTTCAGGATACGTATTGCCAAAAACTTTCCTTGAACAGGAACAAGATTATATATGCAAAATTTGTGAATCAGTCGTTTCTTGTACAGAAATTGAAAAAATATTGGAAGACATTGGTATACGTCTATCAAATATGAAGAAAAACGATATTGTTATATGTAAAGAATTTCTAGACCGATATAAAAATAATCTTCACCCAAATCATTATTATAACATCGACGTAACGATCGCCTTGGCTCAATTGATTGGACAACAAACTGGAGGATTGGCGGTAATCGAGGAAGATCTTCTGATTGAGAAAATAAAATTATGCAAAAAATTGGATTCTTTGCTTAAATTACTCGTTCCAGGTATATGAGATGTGATATACTTTTTTCAGAATATAATAACTAATAAATATAAAATTAAATTAATCCTATTTTTAACTGGACACTTAAGGTCACTACTACATTGTGACGAAGTAACAAGAAAACTATTTGTGTACTCTCTCGAATGTGATTCCATTTTTACAAGGAAAATGATATCGGTGACTGATACACGCCGATTTTGATGAAATTTTGTATAATTGTTTGGACCAGCCTATAGATTTTTCCTTTATTTGGTTCGTGTTACTTTTTTACTTTGATACTTTCTCTAACTCGTCATTGTAACTTAATGTGAAAGTTGAGCTATACTCATAAAGTTTGAACTACTAATTATATAATAAAATTAATTTTGTTTTTTTTTTGTGTTCGTTGAATTAATGAATTTATTGAATTAAGAATTAATCATTGATATCTCTTTAAGGTGAGAATGAATCCTCAAACTTTGGATCACAAATTGATCTTTGAATTTTGGATCATTATAATTATTTTTATTTATAATTATTTATATACGAAATTTAATAATAAAAATTCTCAATGCTTTTATTTCAATATATATCAATATATATATCAATATATTTCAATATAATCATTTATAGAATACAATAAATATAAATGAATTATGATTTATGAAAAAATATTAAAGATTCATTATATGATCATATTGAATAATTATATTTGCTATATCAAATTTTTAATATTTATTTTTTATTTCATCTTTCGATTATCATTAAAAATTAATAGTTGAAATGCATGTGATTATTTGTGTGTGAATTTTGCGAATTTTATCATTTCTTCATTTTATTATATCTCAGAAATGAAGATAACTAAATAATAAACCCATATATATAAGCCATATATATATAATATTATTTTAAAATAATTATATCGGCAAAGTTTGTCAGTTTTTATCTGGATCATCTTGTATATAAATATACTTGACCTAATATACTATGTTAGGTGAAGAATTCTCGAAAACCCTATTCGTTCCTATTCCGATCTCTACGACGACTGAACGAAGTTGGACGTGCTCGTAATCAATCGTCTTACCGATCTTACAACATGCTTGGCTATCGGTAAATAGAGGTATAAGGATTCATTAATTGTAAAAATAGATTATAAATATTTATATTTAATACATATTCATATATCATCATGTATTAAATATATTTATATTTAATACATATCATATATCTATTAATGTTATTAATAAATCATATATTGTAGTAGCAAATAATATTCAATTATAATTTTTTAATAAATATTAATACAAAACAAAAATTGCAAAGAAAGTTTTATTCTTGTTTCATATTTTTTGCACTACGAATCATCAATTCACAAATATTGTACATATATTTGATAAATATACACAGATATGTAAAATATCATTAATATTGATAAATAATTTGTATCTTTTGTTTCAGCTGAAAATCGAATTCGAGGTTTAATTCTTTTTGAGTTACATGCAGCTCTTGCAGAATTAAGTAGAAGATATAAAAACGAGGAAACTATGATATCATTACTGGTGAATACATGAATACATATATTTAAATATATAGAATAAAAAAAAATTTTTAATTATTATTATTTTATATTATTATATACGGAAATATTTGAATTCTTTATATTATAATTAGATTTATCTTAATATTTATTCAAAAAATATAAAATGATCAAATTAGTAGATTAATTCCGGTTGATATTCCAATTATTCAACTGCGTTTTTTTATGAAATTAAATGTGTCTAAATATTAATTATTTATTTATTTAATCGTGATTTAAATTACGAAATAAACTTTTTTATTTCTGGAAAAATATTATTTATAATATAATTTTATTAATAATATATTATAGACTTTAAATTGATTTAAAAAATCCTTGATCGAGGTACCTCCTGATTGAGATAAATTCTTAATTTTTAATTTTTATTTTTCATTAATTTTCTATTTAATCGATTTTTTCAAATTTATCTGAATTAATCAAACAGGTTTTTGTGGTTTTTTTCTATAGTTTTTGGATATTTAGTCGAACAAATTATAAATATTATATTTATATTGCTTATGTAAAATATGCAAAACATAATATCAAAAATATGTATTTTCATAAAAATTCATAGTTTAATGATTATAATATCTATAAAATATTCCTTGAATAATTAAGAAATATTCATTTTATATTATTTATAGAACTATATATAGAATATGTAGAACTATATAAATATATATAAAAGTATAAAAAAATTATTAATGCATTTATAAAAAAGAAAAATTTAATTTATATATAAATATTGTCATTTATATTTGAATTCAAGATAAGATGCTTAAATGAATAAATTTTTCTTTCTTTTTATAGCAGGAATCAAAAAAATATTTAATTGATGGCTATCAATTATTAAAATATGAACCAAAAATTCTGCCAGAAGGAAAAATTGCTCAACACGCTGAGAAAAATTTAGAAGAAATAACTAAGCTTTTAAAACGGTTTCATGTGAAATAAAATAAATATATACATATCATAATAAATATATACTTAAATATGTAAATTCAATAAATTTCAATTTGTTCGAAACAAATATTATAAAAAATATCAAATTGTAAAAATCCTTTTTAAAGAAATAAATATACCAAAATAAATTTGGTCTTGTTGAGTTTTTAATAACTGAATTATAAAAAATATTAATTATATGAGATATCAAATTATTTATATGTAATACAAAGATATATTGTTATGGTAATTTAACTTATTTATTTTACTAACTTTATATTTTTTTTAAACTCATAAATTAAATTAAAAAATAAATTGAATTGCGAATGAGATAAAAAAACTTATTTAAGAACATGAAAACATAATAAAATAATCGATAATATAGATATATGTAAAGTATTATATCTAAATATCTTTTAAATTTTTAATAAGAAAATATATCTTTATTTCAATCAATCTTAAAACATAATATAATAAACGTAATATATAAAATTCTTTTTATGTATCAAGTTATTTACATTTTATATTATATTTATTTTAAAATTTATAAATAGAAAAAAATTTATTTTATTTAACGGAGATTTCTTTTAATTTTTTTTTGCTGTCGTTTAACCATTTAGCCATCAAGTTCGTAGATTCATAGTTTTTTTGTATGCTAGTTATGAGCATTGTGAGCCATTTAATATCAATCTTATGACTTTTAATTGCAGACCTGTAAACAATTTTAAAATTTCTGAAACATATATGAATATAAATATACGTAGCATATATATTTCATAAACGAAAAGAAAAAGAATATATGGAAGTGTACAAATGAGTGAATAAATGTCACGTTTTTCACAATCTTCTTCCAGAAAAGATATTCTCACTTTCCCCACTCTATTATTAAATCTTTTAAGAACAATATTCCTATTTTTCAAGACAATGAAAACGTGAATTGCTTGTCGCTTGTCACTTAAAATCTTTTATTTCTAAACATCAAAATTTCGATATTCAACAACTACATGATTTTAAATTGTCAGCCATTATTGCATATTTATACATAATCATAAATTGTTTTTAAATAATAACTGAATAAGCTTAGGGTAGCTAGTGCTAACAACTCTTAAAAATTATGTCGTCGCTTATGTATAATAATAATGTGAAATAAAATATATATTTATAGAAGTTGATATTTAATTGATATTTTATGATATTTTATCGAAATTTTAGATATTTTAGTAATAAAAAAATTAATTAAAAAATTAAATAAAAAAAATTCAAAAATCGAAATTCATTTACAAACCTTGATAAAAATACTGCAATAAACATAGCCCAGCTTTCAATATTACCAGGATAAGTGAAAACAAGTTTTTGCATGGCTATAATACTGGCTGGTATTAAATTTTGCATAAAATAACTATAAGATAGAGCACATGCAACATGTGCATGATTTTCAGAAGTAATATATTTATTAAGAAACAATACTTTCTGAGCACATTTACTAAACATATGTATATTAGTTTCCAATAATATCCTGAGTAATCGAATCCAATTTTTTACATTACCTGCAAATAAAAAATCCTATTTGAGAACAAAAACAAATCAAATTATATTTTTGATTTGTAATGAATAATTAATCAGTCCTGAGCGAATTGTTAATTTTGGAATAATACTATATTACTTACTAGGATGTGTAAAAATTGCTTTAGAAAGAATAGTAATAGCTTTTTTAACATCATTTCCAATTAAATAAAAATATGCAGATAAATTCACAACATGATAATCATATTCAAGATGATTTTCATATAATTGCAATTCATTTAATACCAATGTAGTTAAATTGATATCACCATGTAATATTCCTAATGATGCAGCTGCTAAAAGACCAGTTATAACAGGCGGTTGTATTTGTATGCATTGAAAAAGCAAAGTTTTTGCATCATTTACTTTTTGAAAGCTATATGCTATTGCGCCCATTGCGCACAATGCATATGATTTCTCTATTTCTGTATTCGCCAAAAACTGCAGCGTTGTTTCGTATGTGGTATATGCTTCTTCATATTTTGCAGCTAAAAATAAAATAAATTTTATTAAACCTATATCTTTTAAAATTTCTTCAAATATGATATTAAAAATACTATTTTGAAATTAACAGGGCATTATCATTCATGTACTAATATATTAATAAATACATATTAATATAAAAATATAATTACCTTTGAATAAAGCCAATGCTAAATGACATTGAGAATTATAATTGATATTTTGAACTGTTTGACATAATTTTATAGCTTCGTTATATTTTTTAAGTTTTATTAATACATGTGCTAGATTTACACAGACTAAATCTTTTTCGTTATTAATACTATTACATACAGCTACTGCAAATTGTTCTGCAGCTGATTTATAAAGTTTCTGTCTTTGTAATAGTAATCCATATGCATTTCGAGCATAACAATCATTTGGATGATTTTCTATAATACAATATATAATACAATATATTTTATTCTATAATACAATATATTTTATATAATACAATATATATATACTATAACAGAATGCATAAAACTAATATTTATATTTTTAAATTTTAATAAATAATACAAACAAATAATAACGAAATAATAATTAAAAGAAAAATAAAATAAAAATATAAAAATAATAATATAATACAAGGATATTTGACAAATTTCTTCTCTTTTATTTATTGTTTAATGATATTATTCAAATAATCGAATTTACCAATAATTATAAACGATTGTTTTGTTAATCAATATTCTAATATTCTAAATAATATAAACTTACCTATATACCATGTCATAACATCAGTAGCAGCAAATACAGCATTCACATTTTCTGTAACATATATATTTAAACTGTTCTTTTTGGTATCAGAATTTAAAATCATATCAAGTACCCAATGAGTATATCCTATGGCAGCTTGACTATGATATCCTAATTGTGTTGCATGTCTAAATAAATCCATTGCTTCTTTTCGATGCATCATTTCAGCAATTAAAGCCTGCCCTATCCAACTATTTATATATGCTGGATCTGCACGCTGAGCTCGAGAATAAGCTTCATTTGCTTTATATAAATTTTCTGTTACAAAAAATATATACAATTATATCATTGAATTACATGAAAATATATTTATAGAGATTATTATTTAAACATTTAATTGCAATTTATTTTATATAATATAAAAGGAAAACATAATGATTTTACATCCTAAAGAAAAGTTTATGTTATGATTTTATTATAAAACATAATATATTTGTTGTTATGTAGATTATTATTTTTAAATACCTGTGTATAGATACAATGTTCCCAAATTACACCATACTATAGCATTATTTATTTCTATATCAATTGCCATGATATAAGCATGTTGTGCCAATGCAAAGTTTTTTATATATGGTGACATACAAATAACTCCCAAGAGATTCCAATGTATCCATATTGAAGGATTTAATTTAACAGCATGTTTTGCAGCAGCAAGACTTTTACTAGCAAGATTTTTATGATTGATTGATGGATCATATTGTAGTTGCATTAAGTAGCACAAAGCTAAGTCATGCCATAATAAAGCTGATTGTGGAGAAAGAGATAGTGCACAACAATAACATCTGAAAAATATAATATATATTTTATTTATATTTAAAATATATATTTTAGATTTAAATATTGTTAAAAATTTATTTAAATCCATAGCTAAACATTTATTGCAATTATACAAAAGATGAACAAAATATTGAAATATTATTTTCTTATATATATTCTTAAGTTTTTTAAAGAAATTTGTGTTATCTTTTTGACGTACCGATTTTTTGGTTTTTCGAAACATACTCTATAATAAAATTTTTCTTTTTCATAATAAACATATTTAAATATATTAAAATAATTAGTCATTCTAAATAAATAATATAAATATTAAAAACAATTCAATATATTATTTCAAAAATTAAAAAAACATTTTGTCCATATAGTGTACTATCTTTTTGTTACGAAATGTATATGCTTTGTTATTTCAATTATTTATTTTATTTTTTTTTTCTTTCTTTTTATAATTTCAAAAGCAGATAAAAAAAAAAGAAACAGTACATAAAATATATTTAAAGAAAAAAATACCGAAAATACCAATAATGCCGAATGAAAATGCCGACACAAATTATGCCAGAATATAATAGTAGAATAAATCCTACACCAAAACAAATTATAAAGAAAGAAAAAAAAATATGTAATTTCAAAAAAATAATATTATGTTGAATTTCCACTATTGATAGATAATAGATATACATGCAATAAACAAAAATTATTTGATCTATATTATCTATAGACATTATTATAAAATATATAAAAAGAAAAGAAAAAAGAATACACAAAGAAAAATAAAACTAACTGAAAATCTAATTTACATGCCAGTTATTTGATTATTATTCATAATTCATATTCATATAATAATATTAATATTCATATATAATACATAAAAATTTAATATTAATATATTAATATGTATACAAATATAAAATCTCATACTACTAATGGCTTGCAATACTAAATTCCTAAATTCACATACATAAGCAACAAACATTACATACATTAGATAATCCATAGAATGTTAATGTTCTTCAGAGAACCAAAATATAATATAAAGAATCTTAATGTTTCATATATACCTTATAGATAAGGAGAACATATCTTGTTTTTTAAGCAATACTATATTTTCTATATCTTCATATTTTATTAAAATGGATGATATTTTTAAATAACTGTATTTCTCGGGTAATATTGCTACTCTATAACATATATCACCAAGTAACTTCCAAATACAAGATGTATCCTTACGTTCTTTAATAGCTATTATCAAACTATTCATTGCTTGTTGTAAACAATCATTGGCACGACCTAAAAATTGTT